ACATAATTGTATAATATATATATATATATATATATATATATATATATATAGTATGTAAAATAATTATATTTATAAGCAATTTTATAAATATATTAAATATAAAATGTGACTGTAATGACTGTAAATATGTACTATCTTGAACATTTTACATATATATATATTTATATATAACATTTTATATTTAAAATATTCAGTTAATTTGATCACAATTATTATAATTTACATATACATTTGACATACATTTTAAATTTATATTTATAATTTACATATAAATATACATTTATATTTAATGTATTATAAAAAGTTTGTTTAAATAATATATGTGTGTATATACATTATTATATTTATTTATATATGTGTCTGTGTGTGTGTGTGTGTATATACTATACACACACACACACACACACACACATATACATACATACATATATAAATAAAATAAGATATATACACACAAATTATAAATAAACACACTTTTATGCTAAGTGTGATTAATCGTGATTAATCGGTTTGACAGCACTAATAAATACATGTATCTCATTGTAAGGGTGCAGCTCTGGGCTGCATGGTCGGTCAGATGACATACGGTAAGAAGCAGTTTGAGTCTTTGGATGCGGAGATGAGGAAACTTATCCCTCCATTTCATGAAGCCATGAACGACTTATTGTTAAAAGTGGACGCTGATTCAACGGCCTTTAACAGCTACATGGTACATAACCAAACACACACAAACAACATTAAATGACTTTAAAACGAATATTAAATGTATGAATGAATTTGCCATTTTAAATACACCACTTTTGTAACATCAGACCATCGAAACTGCTGTTAAATATATACAGTAGAATCTAGATGACAGTAACAGGGTATAATTATTTCTTTTGTTACAGGCTGCCCTGAAATTACCCAAAGCCACAGCAGATGAAATCAAACGGTGCGGTTTATCACCTTTGTGATATTTAATCAAGCAAAACAGAGCTTCTCATCCATCAACTATAGAGACCAAACATGTCATTGGACAATTGAGGAACATTCTGTATCCTGATAAACCAGTTTGATGGTTTGGTTGATGTTAACACATGTCATGAATCACAAAAAGAAACAAGAAAGCCTGACAATTATATTTGCAGAGGAGAGCCTGACTGATAAAACTAATATTACACAATCATTCAACCTGCATTTACCTGTCAAAGTAAACTTCTTCCTTTGCAGAAATGTAGTTATAGATTGTAAATTACAACAGCATTGGCAAAAAACACATAAACATGGCACAGTAGCTACAACAACCTTTCAGATGGATCAGCCCCCTAATGTGGCTACAATTATTTTAAATGAGTAATGAATATTTTAATCTTGTTCATGGATTGTACAGGAGGGAGGAAGCCATGCAGGAGGGTCTGAAAGCGGCGGTGGTCGTCCCTCTGTCCCTGGCTGAAAGAATAAACACACTGTGGCCCGTTCTCAAAGAGATGGTGAAATACGGAAACGTGGCATGTAAATCAGACATTCAGGTGAATTACTAAGTAAAAGACACAAAATAAAAAATAAAAACATCCTTCCAAACAAAGCACTTTGCACTAACAGTAAAAATCTTGACTTAACAAAAATAGCATGACTTTTAAGGTTAAAAAAGCGGACATCAGTATTTATTTCAATGCGTGATTCCTGTCATGTGCAGGTAGCGGCTAAAGCTTTGGAAACGGCAGTATATGGAGCATATTACAACGTCATTATAAACCTGAAGGACATCACGGATGCTTCATTCAGGGCTGCTGTGAGTATCTGGAAACATTCAAAAACTATGTAGGTCAAGGTTGCCATGATGCTTAAGCCACACGGTTTTCTTTTTCGCATTTAATAACCCACACACTATGTGATACGAAACTTGTTTTGAGGAACCCATGAATGTCAAAAAACCAATTAGCATTGTTTCCGGTGACCATGACCATTTTTGTGGTTTGTTGATTTTTAGACTGAAGCGAAAGTGTCTGTGCTGTTAAAGAACGCCAGAGAAAATGCCAATGTTGCACTGCAGATGGCTGAGCAGAGGAAATGATGGCACAGTCTGTACGGATGGCATGGCACAGACAGTAACTCACTACAGATCAAATAAAGACACTAGACTAGACACACTGACATGCAATTTGTGTTTTTTTTCTGCTGTAAAACTCTCTGGTGGACATGACCACATTTAAGTGCGTTCCTCTAAATGCATTTCCCATTTCTTTATGCCCAGTTTGCCCACTACAAAAACATGAATGCTAACTAAAAATTGTGCAGCTTGTTAAGGATATATTTGTTATTACTTTCTTAAAGGGATACTCCACCCAAAAATGAAAATTCTGTCATCATTTACTCACCCTCAAGTTGTTTCAAACCTGTATGAGTTTCTTTCTTCTGCTGAACACAAAGGAAGATATTTTGAAGAACGATTGGAACCAAACAGTTGTTTGGCACCATTGACTTCCATAGTAGAAAAAAAAAAAATACTATGGAAGTCAATGGTGCCAAAGTTCCAATCGTTCTTCAAAATATCTTCCTTTGTGTTCATCAGAAGAAAGAAACTCATACAGGTTTGAAACAACTTGAGGGTGAGTAAATGATGACAGAATTTTCATTTTTGGGAGGAGTATCCCTTTAAGGAACTGGATTTACAATTTTACCATGCGAGACCATAATGGTGAACTTGATTTCACTAAGTGATCAACACTTTGTTGATTCTGGAACAACATTCCAATTGACCAATCAAATTTGAGGGACAAGTTTACAGTTTATATCATGTTTAGGCTTATAATCAGGGTTTGGTGCTTCTACATAAGTGTTATTCATCTATCATTTCCCTCTGATTTTAAAGATAAGTTATGGGTAGGGTTAGGTTTAAGTCTAGGGATATGGTTAATAGGACTACATTTTCGGGCAGAAATGTTGTTCCGGGATTAACAAAATATGCTGATCCAGGAAAATCACGGTTACCAGACCATAAAATGGGCCAGAGTAACAGAGATCGAGGATGGTTTGACTCAAGCAAACAGCCAGAACATTATAGCAACCACCTCTCAACACCCTGGCAACCACCCAAAATACCTTAGCATAATTGCAGCGAGTTTTGCTCTGACAAGCACCAGTCATATTTTCATTAGACAACATAAAACCTTCTTGCCACTCCCAAGTAATTAATTTAAAGCTAGTGACAATGTAAGCAATGTGATAATTGCAATGTAAAAAGATCTAAAACTTTTTAGGTATGCAAAAGAGCCTGTTTAAATGACATTTTTCATAAATGAGAGTTTATGCAGTGCAGAGTTTGTGAGTTTGGTTTGTGCAGTCATATTTTGAATAAGCAGACCCACACGGCATCTGAACCCAAAGCAGCATCATCCTTGAAAGAACTTGATAATCCACCGACCAGCGCCGGGTGGTGCTGTGACTGACCCACCAAAGGCCACCCTCAGTATCCCACTCCCTCTGCTATCAGCTGTTGTTATTTATGCATCTAATAAAGCTGCACTGCTGGACAAAGAGAGACAGGGAGAGCAGAGACATCTGTATCGGCAAATGTTACAGAACAGCTGTAGCAATAATTTCCTCAGTCCATGCATATTCAAGAAGCACCACATCACCAAAACACAGAGTTAAAAGTTACAGCCGTGGTCTAAGAATGAAAAGAGCCCATTCACCAATATAAACTGGTGAATGCACCCATTTTCAAGAGTTTAGACAGAAGATATTTTGTACAATACTTATCAGAACAATAGCATCCCCCTAGCAACTACCCATATCATGACATGAAAAAAACAACAACCTCAGAACACCATCTTAATTGTATAGCAACAAGACAAAAATCACTCAGAAACCCCTAGCAGCCACCTTGAAACATTGTGTCAACCATATAACAACACTTTAAAAACATGTCAGAACAACCTAGCAACCCCTATTAACGATCCATAACGCTAAAGCAACAACACAAACGCGTTTTAAGAAGAAAACTCTCCATTGTACAGCAACAAGATAAAAATTACTTTAGCAACAACCTACAAATACAATCAAACCACATCTAACACAGTAAAAACCTCTCAGAACAACCTAGCAACCCCCTAGTAACGATCCATAACGGCAAAGCAACAACATGACGACGTCTTAAAAATAACAATCTCAATTATATAGCAACAGGACAAAAATCACTCAGAAACCCCTAGCAGCCACCTGGAAACATTGTCAACCATATTGTAAAACTTTAAGATCCTGTCAGAACAACCTAGCAACCCCCTAATAACAATCCACAATGGAAAAGCAACATCATGACGACGTCTTAAAAAGAATACTATCAATTGTATAGCAACAAGATAAAAATCACTTTAGCAACCTCACAGCAACCACCTACAAATACAATCAAACCACATCTAACACTGTAAAAACCTTTCAGAATAACCAAGCAACCCCCTAGTAACGATCCATAATGGCAAAGCAACAACATGATGGCATCTTAAAAAGAACACACTCAGTTGTATGGCAAAAAGCTAAAAATCACTCAGAACCCCCTTGCAGCCACCTAGAAACATTGTGTCAATATAACAACACTTTAAAAACCTGTCAGAACAATCTAGCAATGCCCTGCAACTACCCATAACATGCTAAAACCACTCAGAACACCCTCACAAATGTATAGCAATATGCAAAAACCTCCAAGCAACCATCCTATCAACCACATAGAAACGTCTTAGCAATCCATATAGAATCCTCAGCAGCATGATAAACATACATTTCCAGAGGTCCAAGAAGTATTTTAAAACATCTGAATGGCTACACACATGGGCTCATCTGATTTAAATTAATCATTATAATGAAATCCATATGATATTTATGGTATTTGCATAATAAATTCATGGTATGTACAACAAAATAGACAGCTCCTGAAAATCCTCAAATCAAAACTTGCTTTCAGAATTTACCCAAAGTGCAGAACATCTCTGTGCTGTCTCATCTAGACTTGTTCTTATCAATCCAACCAATCACATGATATCTAACAGCAGGGAATCTTAAGTATAAATATGCCTGGGAGGCTGTGCATCTGTCCAGTGCTGCTTGGAGAGAGTGCGTAAAGGTGCTGTCCATTTCCAAATGTGTAAACGTCTACAAAGATACATCAGAAGAAATGTTTCTCCTTCTTTATCTGAGCTTTTGGAGTGTGCTGGGTTCACACAGTCAGAGCCTGAGTGCAACAACAACATCGCAAGCATTTGTGACACCTGGAGACGACAACGGCCAGTGCACGACCTGTCAGTTTAGACAGCAGAGTAAACTCATGCGCTTGCACTCCATCAAGTCTCAGATTTTGAGCATCCTGCGTCTAGAACAAGCTCCGAACATCAGTAGAGACACGGTCAAGCTACTCTTACCCAAAGCACCTCCACTGCAGGAGCTTCTCGACCAGTATGACCAAAATGGAGGCATTGGTGAGAATGAGGAACAAGGCAGCAGTGAGACCATTATTACCATGGCCACAGAACGTAAGTACCACAGTGTACTGCAATATATAGTGACCCCAAAGATATTCGGACAATGTATGTCAATAAAATGCATGATAAGTTAGTTCTGAGAAAAGGCTAGCATCATTTGCAGATGCCACTTGGTTTGTTATTTTGTTGTAATGCAATGAAAAGGGCTAGCATCATTTGCAGATGCCACTTGGTTTGTTATTTGTTACTTTTTGAAGTGTGGCTAAAGTGTCCAAATACGTTTGGGGGCCATTGTACTATCTGAAAGAGATGACTATGAACCGAATGGTTCATTCATTCAGCTGTTGTTGGAAGATGGCCAAAGGCAACAGACCTTACAGAGCTGTGCACAAGAAACATGCAAAGCACATTTGGCCTGTGAAAATAACTCTTACAAAGATGTACAATGGAAACCTTAGTTTCTGCCAAAATACAGTAGTTATTCCGTTGATGTTACGTCAATAAAACTGGCAACTGGTATTTTCCACAAGTGTCATCAGAAAAAGTAAGATTAATTAAAGGTTTAAAAATGTTTAGGGCAACTCTGCCCCTGGATTTGAGTTTGGCCATAATCAAACACACTGGTAAGACTTCAATTAGATTGGACAAGTGAGTTTTATTAGGGTTGAAACTAAAATTCCTGGGAAAGTGGTGCCAGGAGAAGAGTTGCCCATCCCTATAGTTTACCATGGTAAATGTTTTTACACTGTCAGAAAAATGTGCAGAATTTTTTCCTTTAAAGAGACAATTTATCTACCCTTAAAAGGAGCGTATTAGAACGTGTATCTTTAAAAGTACTACTATGACCATTTAGTAGTAAGTTTGTAATAAGGTACAAAAGTTGTCCCTTTAAAGGTATTGCCTGAGTAACAAGCTGTTGTACCCCTAAAGCTTTTTTTTTTCTGAGAGTGTAAGGTGAAAAGGGTGTACATGGTCTTAGTAAACTTAATACCTTGCAGCGCAAGCCATCGCCCATCTTGAGGGAATGCCGAAGTGTTGCATTTTCTCACTGAGCCCAAAGATTATGCCCGACAGCATCCTGAAGGCCTTGCTCTGGATCTATCTCCGACCAGCTGAGGAGCCAACCACAGTCTTCATCCAGATATCTCACCTGCGGTCATCTTCTGAAGGGAACAGCCACTCAAGAATACGTGCACAAAAAATTGACGTGAATGCCCGGACAAACTCCTGGCAGCACATTGACATGAAGAAGCTGTTGCAGTTGTGGCTCAAACAGCCCCAGAGTAACTTTGGGATAGAAATCAAGGCCTTTGACACGAATGGAAATGATATGGCTGTGACCTCTCCAGAATCTGGAGAGGAAGGACTGGTAAGTCAGTGCATGGATTGGTACTTAGGTACATACTTCTTTAGAATAGAACAAACTACAATTATCAAATGCTGGACAAATTTTGATTAACAAATCTTCAAAAGGTTTAAGGAAGTGTACATATTCTTCTTACAGTACCTTACAGAGTAGTCTAGTCAAGTGGATAAAGGGATACTTGACCGAAAATGATTATCATCAAATTCTGGTTGTTATTCATCATCTTCCTCTCAAATGTGCACCTTGTGGAGTTTAAGCGTACCTTTAATAACCTTGCCCTCTACCATGGCTGTCAAATCTTATTCAAACTTTGCACATCCTGGCAAGTCTGAATGAGATTTGAAAGCAATGGTGGAGGGACACAGTTTGTTTGAACTCAACAAGGGCCTGTAATTCTACTACTTCGCCTTTCACCCTTTTTGGGGTATAGGCCATCAACCAGAGCTCGCCCCGTATCTCAAGGGCCATTATACCATTGACCAAAGGTTTAGTTGGATCAGCTTGGTCAAGGGATCTTCCTGTAACAAGTGCATTGCAATTCATGTCAAGTATGTGCTTAATTGCACCTTTGCATACCTTGTATGTATGACCATAACTTGTTCTTATGTCCGCCCTTCCAGCAACCCTTCTTGGAGGTGAAAATATCAGACGCTGGCAAGCGGTCCAGAAGGGACACTGGCCTTGATTGCGATGAGCATTCCACCGAGTCTCGTTGCTGCCGGTATCCACTCACCGTCGACTTCGATGACTTCGGGTGGGACTGGATAATTGCGCCCAAGCGCTACAAGGCCAATTACTGCTCCGGTGAATGCGTGCAGAGGTACCCTCACAGTCACATCGTTAACAAGGCCAACCCTCGAGGCAGCGCAGGCCCCTGCTGCACACCAACCAAGATGTCACCCATAAACATGCTGTATTTCAATGACCGTGAGCAGATAATCTACGGAAAAATCCCTTCAATGGTCGTAGACCTTTGCGGCTGCTCTTGAGCCCAAGGGCTTTTCTAGTCACTATGACAGCAAGCCCTAACTGCTTTGGACCAGAGGGAAGTGAAAACAACCTTTACCTTGTCCCTTACGAAATAGTTCCTGCTAAAACAATTGACCACACCGGGTCCCAACAAGCCAACTTAGCCAAATCTTTTTGTTTGTTCTCATCAACTGTTGTACACAAGGACAGTAAAAGGTGACAAGGGTTTCTTTATTGAAGGTATAAGGGTTCCTCTGTGAAATCATTTGAGCATAGAGATGACCTGATGGGCTTTACCAGTGTGATTTCAGAATGTACAAATTGCAAAAAGTACTTTTAAGTTTTAAATTAATTTTAAAGGGGGTTGTAAAGTTACAAAAAGAGGAACACTGACCCAGAAACTTACTCAACATGACGTCCAAACAACAGACTTTTGGAATTCTGCAGTTGGTTCATAGCATATGGGTAGTTGACAAATGACATGGATAGGAAACTTTTTAGTGCTGTAACTGCTCACAATTTCAATGCTTTTTAAATAGTTTTAAACATTGCTGGAACATGTCAACCATCCAAAAACATGCTTCTTATATTCTTGTCAAAAAACTGCCAATTCAATAGTAATCCTACAAAATGTCTTAGGCTAGAGATGGTCATAGTGATCTTTTAAAACATGGAATTAATTGTATAGATTGTATGGTTCAAAATCATGTTGTAGTTTTGATCTGTTGTACCAAGTAAAATGCCTGTTACTGATGTTTTTGAGTAGTTTTTTTTTCACATGTCCTTAAGGGACCTCTTCAATGTTGTCCCTTCGTAACCCTTAACAGAGTGACACCATTGACACCAATCCAAGCATGTGGAGCACATTATGGCACTCAAAAGCAACAACCGCATATTCCATGGAAGCTAAAGCCTCTCCTGTGTTATTTTGTTATTTTGAGGGCTCCCCAGTGTGATGGAGGCCCTGTGAGGCAACAATAGTAGAAGTCTGTCCACAGGACATTGAGTGCACTTCGAAATGTCCTCATTTGCGTTTAAAATAAGATTTTGCACACTTTACTGCATGATTCAATAGTTGCACACTTTGAGTCAGCAATTAAGTAGGCTGAAGTTATCTAGAATTAAATGTATAATACAGAATGAAAATAAGATATTCCCTAAGTGGGTGTGCTTTTTTACCCCCTGAATCAAACATTGAGCCATCAGAAGGATCAAATATTAATAGAGATCTTTTATAGTTTGCACATATTGTTTCATGTTGAAACTGATATACATTGACAGAGCTGGTGACCTCATGCAAAAGGAGAAAAAAAAAGATTCTCTTCTGTTGTAAATGAAGACACAGAAGATACATCCTGGTTTTGGAACCTAACAGGAGGATGAAAAGAGGGCAAATGATATATACAAAAAAGGCCTATAATCGTGCATAGATATGATTGCAAATAAATAAATAAAAACGGCTTATCAAGTTTTAAAAGTGAGGAGAAAACACACTAGTCCTGGTTTCTTCTATAGAACAAGATTGTACGGCAAATCAGAGGGAACTTCACCTTATTTGACCCCACATTCCATGTAGTCCTGTCACTCTTATTATTTACCTCTTAAAACACATGTGTTCCTTATAAAACACTATAAAGCAGATCGTAACATGCAATCCTCCTACAGCTTTTACGTAGTGATGAAATGGACATCTTTCTCTAGTCTAGTGTACTACGCAGTTTCAGTTTCTTATAAATCACGTGGGCTGCGCTACAACGTTGGTCCAAAATTCCAGTTGCGTCATAAAGACAGCAAGACACGCTGATAGGATAGTGCATAATGTGACAAACAACACTTTGCTCGCTGATTGGTTGATCTAGCTTTCACTCAAACACACACACGCGTGGTACTCGCGCAGAAAAAGTCGGACATCTACTGGAAAGGCTATTTCAATAACAAATCGACAATAACAGGGAACTCGCCTGTTCTTCCGTGTTATTCTGCTACTATAGAAGACACATCAAACATATATCTGCGGATTCTTAATTTAACCGTATTTGGAGAACATTTGGGGGTGAGTAACAAAATAACAACTTTAATTTCCGCATTCATAATTTTTTTGCTTGACAAATTACAGGAAGTTTGATCTCACGTTTGATTACTTCATGGTATTCCTGTATATGCGTGTAATCCTAATATTTCACATGTTATTTGAGGATTTTACTATTAAGAAAGCAATGGAAAAACACATAAAAGACCTTTATACACACAAGGCCATACGTAAACTGAGCTATTTATATGTGGTCCGAATGCAGGCAAAACAATATCATGCTATTATGTTCATGCGATTCTGTTATGCTAAAATTATGATAATATCTTTCAATATAACTATATTATTATTATTATTACTATTATGGATTGATTCCAATTTATACCGAAGGATAAAATTTGCTGAGCATAAAAAATTAAATAAAATAAAAACACACACCCCTCATACATGCACCCACCCTGACCCACGTTTACCAAAGCTATCAGAATGAGGACGTACCATAGACGTCTATTGTATTTATATTAAGCCTCTAAAATGTATTTATACAAAACAATACTGCCAAACCATACCCTACACACACGTGATAGAGCGCACTTAATTTTTTTAATTTAAATCTTTTCGACAACACTATGTTCAGTAAAGACATAAATAAGCATGCATATTCAAACTAATGTTAGCCTATTCTTATTGTACTCATTTTAAATGATACCTACTATAGACTAAAACTTTGAAAACTTTTTAATAATAATAATAATATAAAATCTTTTTCATGTTTCTCTGTCTTCGAGCTCCACAAACACTACATACTAAACCTAATCTTTGGTCTACAAGAAAACATTTAGCATTTTGAATATAAGAAGAAATATTGTTTACTTTTTACATATCTTTCTTGCAAAATGTTTTGGCAAATCTGTTAGTAGGTACTAGGTTAGAGAAACACACAGCACAAAAACCTCAATATGTCCTGTGCTTAAATTGAAATCTCATCTTGCAAAGAAATGCTTTGCGCAGTTTGCATGTCTGCTGTCTTCCGCCTTCATTTTACTTTGCATAATCAAGATTTTCTTGCAGAAATCAGTCAGCTATTCACTGTGGCCCATCCTTAACAAACACTTATTTTCATTTATTTTACCTCTCAGCCCACAGAGTCGCAGAAATGAGTCAGTGGATGGAGCTTCAACAACTTGATTCAAAGTTTTTGGAACAGGTCGACCAACTGTATGATGACAACTTTCCAATGGCCATCCGGCAGTACCTCAGCAGCTGGATAGAAAGCCACGACTGGTGTGGATGAAAGATTTGATACCTTCATTAGCTTTATCACCATTTCAAACACATAACCACAAATCTCCTGCAAGTATAATAATGCTAAACTAGAGTAGGCATTGGCAACCTGATTTTTTATTTTATTGTTTTTTTTGCAGGAATACATTTTACAAAATACACATAAACAACAAAGTGCAAGTTAATATTTATTAAAATATTAATATTAAAATTTGAAGAAATATTTTTAAATGTGCATAAACATTTGTAAAGGTAATTTGAATACTATTAATAAAATTAATTTAAAATATGCACCTTTAAAAGTATTCATTAATTGTTTCATGTTTAAATATTTTAAAGGTCGTTAATTTGATTATTAATTAAAATATCAACATTTAAAAGATAATTTTTTTCTTTTTTTAATGTGCATAAATATTTTTATAGGTAATTAAAATATTACTATAAATTAGAATACAATAATAAAATATTAAAACGTGAATTAATACTTTAATAAAAAATGAAAGGTATTCAATTATTCATTAAAATATTCATCATATTAATATTTTGAAAGATGCATAAATATATTTAAATGTATTTTTTGTACACCTCAAATGTAAATGATTTCGATTCCAATTCTTATTGAGTCCCAGTTTCAATTCCAATATGTTTAAAATAAAGAAATTCAAACATTTAGATATCAAACATTTATTCTGTCATTTTGCAAAACGTTCTGTTGCAGCTGAATACCATGACCAAAAATCAGCAGCCTAACAACTAACTGAAACACAACTGAAAGTTCAGACATGTAAAATAATCCTTATTTAAATTACAAAAGTGATTCAGTCAAGATCAGTGAGTGATTTTCTTTCTCTTTTGTTCTTTGATTAACAGTAATGACAGACGGCAGCAGGTTTATTAGGCTGCTGTCCCTTTAAGACCTCAAGATCTCATTCGAAATGTTAATTTTGACAAGTATCCGATTCCTGACCTTAAAGGTGCAGTAAGCGATTTGAAACCACCAAAACAAACACGCCCTTACCCAAAAGGATCACACCCCTATCTTGATAGCACCGCCCCCAAATTCACAAAACAGGCACCTCCCCCTTATGAGTGTATACGTCCCTTACTGCTGATTGGCTACAAGTGTGTTTTAGTGCTCGGTCTGATCCACTTTCAGCAGTGTATCTTAGAAATCGCTTACTGCACCTTTAACTATCCGATTTCAGAAGTAAAATAAATGTTCAATTCCCAACCCTACCGATCAATCTGCGTTAACTTCACATAAAGGAATCATGGGTCCTCCAGAGGTGGTTTGGGGCAACAGAGAGGTAAATGCTGCCGTATCAGCTGTTTAAGAAGACAAATGAGTGTCAGCACAACGTATACAATTACTTACTGCAGTTATTATTGCTAAACAAAGTGTAGCAGTGATAACTACTAACTATTTTATATGTCCTTATCTTACTGTAAACATCTTTACTTTCTTATTATACTTGTCATCCCAATAAGAGGGATTATTTAGGTACAAATATAGGAATTGTACTAAAATAGAATTCAAACCAGTCTCAACTTTAGTTGACGTAAATCTTCTGTTCTTTGTTCCCCAAAGGGAGCATGTTGCTAATGTGGAGAACGAGTCCCTGGCTACCGTGAGGTTTCATGATCTTTTGACCCAGTTAGATCACCAACACAGCCGCTTCGCGATGGAGAAAGACTTCCTGAACCAGCACAACATCCGCAAGATCAAGAGGAACTTGCAGGTGACTGACTGCAACTGGCTGCATGACTATTTCCTTTTAGTGTGGTGTCACTTTTAGTTAATTTGAACCTTGTTTTCCAGAACCTCTTCCAAGACGATCCCGTTTCCATGGCTATGATCATCAGTAGGAACCTTAGCGAAGAAAGGAAGATTCTGTCCGCTGCCCAAATGTCAGAGGTCAGTAATTAATAAATGACAGCCACTGATCTCCACCACCTAAACCTGAGATTCAAATATATTTTAAGTCAATATGACATTTAGATGTCTTTTGTAGGTGTGAAGTTCCATTATTAGAGGAATGGTTTAACCGAAAACAAAAATTCATTTACTCACCAAACCTGCATAACCTTTTTTCGTCTGTAAAACAAAAATGGAATGAAGTTAGTAATTAGTATTCCGTTGCAGAATCGAACCGAGAGCACCCAAAACGACATGATCGTGGAGAAACATCGAGAAATGGACGGAAGGGTGAAAGACATAAAGAACAAAGTACAGGTGATGTATACACACAAAAAACTTGTCACAACTACAAGATATTTTGGATACATTTTATTTCGATGGTCCACTTTAGACATTCTTCTAACTACAAGTAACCTTGCAACCACATGTCTACATTCTCTCAACTAAATTCGTTAGAGTGTTAGACTATTAGGGTTCGGGTTAGTAGAATAAGTTGACGTAGTTGCAAAGTTACTTATAGTTAGAACAGACCCGGCGCCAGACACAAATTCACGGACGGGCATTCATTTTTTTCAGGGGGGCACAAATGAAAACAACCTCATTGCATCATAACAGAATCGATTATGATACTATGCAATGATCGATAGAGCATAATAATTATATAATAGGCCACTGACGCTAAAGGTACGTTTACACACTGCCTCCGCAAATTTCGATTTAATTTTTTAAGTAGGTTTGAGAGGTGTTTTCGGGTCATCAGTGGGTGCTGTGAATTATTATTGAAAAATAAATTGGGCATGTTGTGTGGACCTCTGTCCCAAGGGGGGTTGGGGGGCATTCTCCCCCGCAAGAAAATTTGGTACATTTTAAGTTTAAATGCATCAATCTGGTGCACATTGAGAGCTCAAAATTAAGAGCTTCAACCGGCTTCGACCCATGAACTGTGCACATTGAACAAAGAAAAAGCATTGACTTGTATACCTAAAGAGGGCTCAAACATCTTGTTATAGTCTCAGCCTACATTACATCGTATTTTATATTAAGCTATAGAATAGGAAAATTACACTACTTTTGTCCTAATTTCTTCACTTGTAAGAAATAAACCTTTGAGCTTTTATTTAGGAGAAAACACAAAATCACCATGCTGATCGTGTGAGCAAGAGCGCACTTTTCTTTAAATCACGCAGCACAAACAGAATGGCTAACGTTAGCCTACTTAATTAAAGTCTTGTGCTGTTTAGCCAAAAAAACGAAATATAATACCGAAAAAACTCGACATGTCAACAAAACATAAACATCTTCCCAAACACATATCAAGCTTATTTAAAAACCTCGAAAGCATAAACACTCATTCAAAGTAATACAACGTATTACGTATTCAGAATACAAATTATGAGTAGGCTAACAGTAGTCTCCACAGAGCATAAAATATTCGTTTCATTTTATTTTTCGTGTTCGCATTTATGAGGAAAAAACAATGTTACGGACGTGAGCGCTCTGAAAGCGGCACTAAAACATGCTTTAAAACTTTCACAGAGACATCAAACAGAAAGCAAAACCTTTCTTTAAAGTGAATTTCGTTTTGTATTAATTGTATCTTAATTTTAATCAATATTTCATCAACCAATTGCCTGGAGGGATTTAATAAATAAGAAGTAAATATAGCAGACGATAATGACGAACCGGAGGCGCCAGCGCGTGAACTGGAGCTCGTCGCAATTGAACCGAAACTCGTGTAGGCGTATAAGGTAGCCCGCCTCACAGACATGTCTACTTTTAAACAGAACAGTTCAAAACGAAAGAAAACAGACTACAGACTGCTCCCTGCTCATGTAATCCGTATGAAATGTGCATTTCTCTATGGCGTTTGAACGAAACGTTTGAATGAATGACTCGCTTAATAAGACCGCTATCACATGCATTTCCGCGCTCTCTATCGACAAACCAATCAATACGTTTACAATTAGAAAAAAATCAGACCAAACACATTTTTATTTTTATTCAGGAGTTATGTATATTCAAAAGGATAACTTTTGATAACAGTAGCCTATTGATAAAAAAGATATTGTGCAAACAAGCAAGGACTGGTGGGACTTGAAGTGGAGTTGGTGAAGGGAGAGACTCGCTCAGGGCGGGCACTAGTGACTCACAGGGCGGGCCAGGCCCCCCAATGCCCGCCCATGGCGCCGGGACTGAGTTAGAAGAATGTCTAAAGTGGACCATCGAATAAAATGTTACAGATACGTGTAATTCTCCTTGTCAAGTCGTGTGAGAAATCTTTTTTTTTTTTCTATTTCCGATTAGGACACCGAGCAGATCATCAAAAATCTGGAAGATCTGCAAGACGAATACGACTTCAAGAGCAAAACTCTTCAAAGCAGAGGTAACGGGATTAAAAAAATGCTTTCTTTGTAGTCGAAAAGAGCTTGATTTAACATGTGGTCCATAGAATGTAAAAAAAAAAAAAAAAAAAAGGACAGCATGTCTCCCCTTTCCATTGTAGAAAAATGGAAGCCAAAATAACTTACGGTCTTTGCCAATTACGTTGTTCGGGGCCCGAGACTGCGCGGTATCAAGCTGCGGTATTAAGGTCCCGCCCACAAAGCACAGCTGTCAATAATGACGTTACACTCCATTTTTATAGCATCAAATAATAACTAAAACCAAACTTATTTGGAAAATGAACATTGCACATACGTCTGCATGATAAGAACTACCTAGAATAACAGAAACCCTCTTTGGGACCATCTTGTGTCATTGAATTTTTTAGTTTGGCTCGCATCCCATCCGATTACATGGAGAGGGCAGGGTTTAAGACCTACTGCAGCCAGCCACCGAAAAAATGCTTTTGCAAAATTTTACAAGCAAAAATTTGTCTCTTGTCAGTAGTGTATATAGTAGTGTAGCGATGTATATTCACAAAAGAAGTCACTTTGAAACCAAGCAGCTTTCTGTTGGTCAGTGCAGCGAATTCGCTTGACCAAACTGAACTTATCGGCCTTTACGTAAATTTCCCAATCGTTTAAATTTCGCAAGCGGGAATTCGCTGAACAGCGGGAAATGTGATCGCGCCTTAGGCTACAACTAGCTATTTTTTCACGATAGAAAGTTTAGAAACTCAATATTGCTTATTTTGATTGCAAAAATTCAACAAACAATAATAAAAGTGACAACTTAAGTCAGAACTAGCTGTTTTTCCACAAGTACAGAAACTCAGTATTGCTTGTACGTCTGTTTAACAGAGGAACTCAACGGGACCATTTCAGCGGAAGACTTGAATCGGGAGAGACTCACCATCCGCGCCATGTTTATGAAACTCCACAACACAAGAGAGGTGAGAACATTGGAGATCCATCGGCCTTCGCTTTGGTTAGTGAAAAGAAGCCGTTGCGTTCAACTCTGTGTGTGTTTGTGTCCATGTAGAGTGTGATTGGTCAGATGTCAGAGGTGTCGAATCTCATGGATCCGGTGATCTTTGAGCTGATCTCATCAGAACTGGCCGATTGGAGGCGCCGACAACAGATGGCTTGCATCGGTGGGCTGAGCAATGTCTGCTTGGACCAGCTGCAAAACTGGTAACAAATGCAAACCACAAATGAATTCATATTTTCTTTATAAACATATGGAGTAGCAATACTAGCAATATATGCAAGTTGTTTTGCTGTTCTAAAATGTTAAATGAAAAAAAAAAATCAGTTGCAAGCTTACAGAAAATTGGTCTGGAGAAGCGCATCTGTAGGAAAAGTGTAATGTACTAAACTATGAATATTAAACCTATTTTCCATACAAATTGATTATCAAGAATCACATGATAAAAATCATATTCAGATTAGTTTGCTAGCTAAAATACTTGACAGAATTTTTCATTCTACCTAATAAAAAAAGCGACCCATCAATTTTAATGCCGCACGAAGCAACAAATTTGATATTTATTTATATGTATGTGGAGGGAGATTGTGGACCAGTAAGATTTCGCTGTGGGCGGAGCTACACAGTGTGATGGATATATGTTGCATTTAAACCAGAATAGTCATAACGACCAACTCTCATAGTTCTAGGGGCGTCAGATAATTATGATATCGATCATAATTACGAATTTTTAATGTACAATATGCATTTTTACACAATTTGTGTACTATTGATTACGAATAGCAATAGTGGTGCGGTTACATTTACTGTGGAATGGCGAATTTCGCAGACAAAATCCTTTAATTTCAATAGGAATCTCACAAATGGGAAATTTGCCTGAGTGCGAAAGATTTCCAGACAGATTTCGCAACAGGTTCAAATTGGTCGTGCGAATTTTTTTGCACTAACCAACAGAAAACTGCTTGTTTTGAAAGTGACTTCTGTGCGAGTTGATCTCCATACATCGTTCCGCTGTTGACGATAGACAACCTTTTTTGCATGCCAAATTTTATTTGCTTTTCTGCGTTGAAATATTGACGGTATTAAATAAAATGAAAATATATAAATATTGATCATTTTGCAAATATTGTCAATGGACCTTTATGTGGCGGTGCCTTACAAAAATCATGGCTCGCATTTTAAGTCATATGTCATTGAGTTCTGTTTGTTTCCCCCCCCCCAGGTTTACCTCTATCGCAGAATCTCTGCTTCAGCTCAGGCAGCAGCTCAAGAAACTTCTGGAGCTGGAGCAGAAGTTCACATACGATAAAGATCCCATCACCCTCAGCAAAAACACCCTGGAGGACAAGATCATGTCAAACCTCAAAACTTTAATCACAAAGTAAGAGCATTTCTTTGCTTTTTTAGGCCCTGATATACTCACGGCGAAGTTCTTTTTCGTTCTTTGCTTAGGGGTGAAGTTCGAAACACCTTAATCGTGGAATATTTCCATGTCAATGAAGGCGGAGTCTCAGAGCCACACCCACTTATTACATAACCGTCACGGACCAATGGTAGTTCAAAGGTGTTTACCAGCTGGAGCGAACTTTTCTGGAACTGAACTCCGAACGAACTTTGATTGGGACTGATTTTGTTTGAAATTTCTTCACACCAGTTTGTTCTTCGATTTGGTTTGAAGTACCGGTATAAGAAAATAAAGCAGAAAATCAAGAAAGTCATCAACTATGATGTCAAAATGTAAGGTTGCAGCTGATTGGTCTGTGGGTTATTCTGAGGAGAAGTGCAGCTAGAGGAAAAAAGGCCACTTGATTTTAGTCTTGAGACGTGCTAAACTACGAATATTAAACTTTTTTTTTTTTTTTTTGGTTTTATTCGATTTCGCTTGAAGTATATCGGGGGCCTTTACACCACTGCTGAAATGTGTCGCTGACAATGAATCATTTTGGTTTGCGTGTTTTCAGCTCCTTGGTAGTCGAGAGACAGCCATGCATGCCGACCCAACTGCAAAGACCTTTGGTGCTGAAGACGGGTGTTCTGTTCACTCTCAAATTACGGTAACTTTAAACAAATGTCAGATGATTCACTTCTCTGCAAGCAGAAGCCAGATAATGATCAGATGATGAAATCAAAATTTTCTGTGCCTCCAGGCTGCTCATAAAACTTCAGGAATTCAACCACACTGTTCGAGTGAAAGTCCATTTTGATAAGCAAGTATTTCGAAAACTTTATCTCAACTAAGTCATAGATACTTTCTTTTGCCTGTAGATTACTTGCTTGATTCATGCATTTTTAGCTTAACATACATTCAGAAAAGACAACATTTCATATGTTCTTGTGTTAACACGTGCCTCTTTTTGTCTTCCAGGGATATCGTTGAGAAACGGAAAGGGTGCGTCTTACGTAATTTCCTTTGCATACCATATTAAAGGGAGAGTTACACTAAAAATTAAAATCTGTCATCATTTACTCACCCTCATGTCATTGCTGTGTTTTTTTTGTGGAACATAAAATATATTATTTTAAAATGTTTGTTACGCAGGTCTTGAAAAACAACAACAGTTGTAAAAAAAAAAAAAAAAAGTCCACTACAAAAAAGCAAGCTTGAGTTAATGACAGAATCTATATTTTTTGCTGAGTTGTTCCTTAAATTCAGTTCTTTTTAAATTTGTTGAATCCCACTTAAATTAAAGGGATAGTTCACCCAAAATTCTTTCAACATTTGCTCACTTTATGTTGATCCAAACTTGAGTTTCTTTCGTCTGCTGAACATTTTAAAGGAAGTTGGTATTCAAACAGTAGACGGTACCGATTGACTTCCATAATAGGAAAAAAATACTATATAAGTCAATGGGTGCCGTCATCTGTTTGATTACCAACTTTCTTTAAAATCTCTTTTGTGTTCAGCAGAAGAAAGAAACTCATACAGATTTGGAACAACATAGGGATAGTAAACATAGTAAATTATGACAAAATGTTCATTTTTGGGTGAACTATCCCTTTAATATTATTCTGCTTACTTAGCTATGTTCCTGTTTTAGGTTTCGGATGTTCAACATCTTGGGAACAGCCATGAAGGTGATGAATATGGAGGAATCCAATGGGATGGCTGCAGAATTTCGTCATCTGGTAAAGTGAAAAGAAAAACAAAAGAGCAAATTATACTGTAGCTCCAGTCAAACAAGTAATAGTAACAATATTCATTTTACTTCACAGCAACTGAAAGAGAAGAAAGTTACCGGAAACAGAACTAGTGAGGTGAGGGTTCAGTCTTCACACTACCGTTAAAAAGTTTGAGCTCGGTAAGATTTTTAGTAATGCTTAAGTCTCTTATGCTTACGAAGGCAGCATTTATTTGATCAAAAATTACAGAAATAGTTTTACAATTTAAATGAACTGTTTTCTATAAGAGTATATATTAAAATGTAATTTATTCTTGTGATTAAAGCTGAATGAAATAGAAATCTTTTGTAAGATTCTAAATGTCTTTACTGTCACTTTTGATCATTTTAATGTATCCTTGCTGAATAAAAGTAATTCATTTCTAATAAATTACTGAGCCAAACATCAGTTGTATACTTCTTAAGATTGTCAAATACTTTTCTGTGTGACTTTTCTATTTACTTACCCTCATGTCTTTCCAAAGCTGTATGACTTACTTTCTTCTGTGGAAAAGCTCCAAAAAACCCCCCCAAAAAATCACATAAAAGTATGATGAAAGTAGTCCATAACTCTTGTGATCTATTTTCCACCTCTTCTGAAGTCATACGATCGATCTGTGTAAGAAAGAAGCAGAAATTTAAGCTTCCCCTCATTTGAGCTTCTGCATGTTCAAACTTTAAAACCAGTTTGAACTAATTTTGTTCAACTTTTTTTTTTGGCTAACCTGTTTCTTAAATGTTCGGCAGGGTCCTCTGATCGTCACGGAAGAACTTCACTCCATCGTCTTTGAGGCTGAGCTTTGCTGGTCTGGACTGGTCATGAACTTTGAGGTCAGAAGACCCTTCAGAAGAACAGAGTTCGGAACATAAACATCACCAAATCATGATCATCATCAACTTTCTTCTCTCTCTCCATCTTCAGGCTACATCTCTGCCCATAGTCGTGATCTCCAATGTCAGTCAGCTACCCAGTGGATGGGCCTCCATCATGTGGTACAACATGCTGAACTCTGAACCAAAGGTTAGTCCTCCTTAACACTAATGTTATGCATAACAGATTTAGGACAAACTGAAAATTGTATTATATGATACAAATCTGAAACTAAACAAAATGTATCGAAATTTTGCCTTGGCAAATAACTGAAAAATGTTTAAGTTGAAGCACTATAATTAAAATAACTGAAAATAAATTAAACCTAAATAGAAAAGAACAAAAACGACAAAAGCACATAACAAAATTATTAAAACTTAAACAAAACTTTAAATGAAAACAAAAAATATTGGATTAAAAACTTGATGAAAAATGAGAAATGTTTGCCTTTAAAAACAACCGAAATACGTTGAAGGACTGGAAATAATAAATAAATGAAAACCGAACTAAAAGTAAAACTGAAATAAATTAAACCTAATAGAAATATTTTTAAAAAGAACAAAAACAAATACAAATGACAAAAGCACATAACAAAATTATTAAAATTTAAATATTAATATTATATATGAAAATATTATGTATATATATATATATATATATATAATTAAACCAAAAAAATGGAAATGTTGCCTTGGCAAATAACTGAAATAAGTTCAGTTTGATATCCTATAATTAAAATATATATCCTAAAATTACTAACTGGAAATAAATAAAAACTGAAATAAAATTAAATCTAAATAGTAATTTTGTTATGCGTTTGTCTTTTTTTTTTTTAGTTTTTTGTTCCTTTTACCGGTAACATATTTCTAAAACTTTTAACTACATGAAATTATAAATATCAAAGGATAAACTTAAACTAAACAAAGAATGAGAAATGTTTCCTTGGCAAATAACTTAAGTTGAAGCACTAAAATTACAAAAAAAAAAAAAAAAAAGAACCTAAATACAAATATTCTTTAAAAGAACAAAATCTACTAAAAATGACAAAAGTAAAAAAGAAAACTGGTACGTCCTATGAGTGTCTAGGGTTAAGACTTAAGATTTTAAAGAGTATTTGTCTGGGCTCTGCCACAGCACCTCAACGACAAGATTCTTCTTAACAGTTTTATTCAAAAGCTCTTAACAGATCACAATTTACCTAGAGAGTAAAGCTTGGGGAGGAAACAAAGACTTCAGAAGGGGTATAACAAGAAAGAATAGAACAAATAAATAACAGAAATGTACACTCACTCCCTACCTGACCACAAACCAGGAGAAAACAGGGGATAGCAAAATAAAAAAAAGAGGCACCCACCTCCCTACAGTTCCCAAGCAATAAAAATTAAATAAAAACAAACAATCAGGAGAACAACAGCTTAAATGGTAAAGCAGAAGTTATAGACTAGGATGTCTCACTAAGAAGCAACAGTGCCTTAGGCTACAGCATTCAACAATAAGCGGCAATAAAGCAACAGTACTCTAAGCCAAAACAAAAGGAAAATGCAAAGAGTCGCACAGATCCACAAAAAGGAGCACAACAGCTCCCAACAACTGGGCCAGGCGGGACACAGATCATGCTCTGGAGAAAGGTTCTCCACGATTGATAGTTCTGCTTGCTTTTATGCTGCTTCCCTCCTGGTTGGTAAGCAATCAGCTCTAGTACCTGCCAGAGTGAAGGAGTGGGAGGAGCCAAAAGCGAGCAGGAGACACAAAACAACAACAAAAGAAAGCAAACACATACCACAGTACCACGCAGTTCTCACAAAAATATACGTCTTTAGACGTAACGAAATACTAAAGTAAAAGCAAATTCAAAGATAAGTCCTCAACGCTCATGTTCTTGAAAAGTTTCATCAGTAGAAATGAGCTCTACTTACGTCCGCACAAAACAGATTGCAGGATGTGTTCGCACAGGTTCTGACTTGCCGTTTCTTCTCCAGAACCTTTCGTTCTTCGTCACTCCTTCTTCAGCCACTTGGGGTAATCTAGCGGAGGTGCTGAGCTGGCAGTTCTCCTCCATCACCAAAAGAGGTCTTAATCAAGAACAGTTGAGCATGCTGGGAACTAAACTGCTAGGTGAGTCTGATAGCTACTTGCCTGCCATCGAGCGGCTGATCCTGTTGGAACAGATGAACTAAATGCACAAGCTTTTGAACTTTGGCCCACAGGTCCTAAAGCGGTGATGGATCCTGAAGCTCAGATTCCTTGGAATAGATTCTGTAAGGTTGGTCTCTATACTATATGTTTTTACTTATTCGTTTAGCCATTAGGTCGAATCTTCTGAATTGAGCACACTAGTTTTGTTAGCCATGATTGTTAAAAGTGATTTGAGTCTTGTGTATGATGTAGTCTGGCAGTGAGAAGAACTTCACCTTCTGGTTGTGGATTGAAGCCATTTTGGATCTTATAAAGAGACACCTGCTGAGTCTGTGGGATGATGGGTAAGAATTCAGATGTTTGGATTATGAAAATTCTGCTAGAATCACATGATCACACCTTGATCACATGCTGTTGGGGTTAAGATCAACCAGGTTGACCAGCTAACTAACGTGACCATTTTGGACATCTACGGTACCATATTTCACATACCAGGGTTATTATCGTTAACTAGAACTAAATCTATTCACTTTAAAACATTTTTTTGAAATAAAGCTGAAATGAAATATAAATATTAGGAAAAAAACTAAAAGTAAATGAAAATGAGAAATGTTGCCTTGGCAAATAACTGAAATGAGTTGAAGTTGAATCACTAAAATTACTAACTGGAAATTATTAAAAACTAAAGTAAAACTGAAATAAAAAAGTAACTAAATAGTAATATTTGCACAAAATGACAAAAAAAAAGAAGACAAAAGCACACAACAAAAATACTAGACTAAACTAAACTTAAATTAGAAATGTTACCTTGGCAAATAACTTTGGCAAAGCACTAAAATCACTAACTGGAAATAAATAAAAACTAAATAGTATACATAAATAGTAAAACAAAAACTAATAAAAGGGACAATATCACATAACAGTTTACAAAAAATGTAACTAAAATTAAAATGAAAACTGAAAATATAAATATTTGATGAAGAACTTTAACGAAAATTAGAAATGCAAAACACACTTAATGGAAATAAATAACTATAACTGAAATAAAAATAATAACCTAATAGTAATATTTAATAAAAAACATTTAGCTAAAATTAAAACTAAATCCGAAAATATAAAAGCATATTCAAAATATCAATAAAAACTAAAATAGTATATAAATAATTCTACATTTTTGTTAGATTTATGCTTTAAACAAGAAAAATGTTCCAGGTTAAATAAACAAATAAATATAAAATTTAACCTGTAACATTTTTATTAAGTGGGATAGTTAATTCTGTAAAAAAAAATAAAAACAGACTGACGAGTCTGTGGCATGTTTTCAATTACCAACATTGTGTCCCCTATTTTTAGTAAAAACATGCATTTACCGGTATGTTAACTCTTTCCCTGCCAGTGTTTTTGAAAAAAGTTGCCAGCCAACACCAGCATTTTTGATAATTTTCACAAAAATTTCATGGCCCCCAAAATATTTTGTTGTTTTAATATCTGAACATGATATATGTCAAAAGAAAGAACAGCCCCTCTGCTTTTACACAAAAACCTATTTTATTCTAGCTTAATGCATTCTTTTTTTTTATCAACACTTGAATATGGTTAAGTTTCATTAAAAACAACATTTGGAGCAAAAAGCTGAGAAAATCACATTTTTGTCAAAGACTACATCAAGATTGGATTCAGAAATTCAAAAAAAACATAGACCCCCGAGTCCATCAACACCCTCGAAGCTTTACAGTCCTATACCTCGTCCTGGTATGATGTTTCATTCTGTAACATTAGGCAGTTTTGATTTATATGCTGTTTAATGTTGGTGATCGCGTTGTTTTACATATTCCTTGCATGTGTTTTGATCTAGAGATTCAGTACTTTTTCAGAAGATGCCATAGCGCCCCCTACCATATAACAGTGAAAATACAGGAAAACTATTTCCGTAAATGGTGGGGAATGACGGGAATTTCAGTCATTGGCGGGGAACCAGTTAATAAACTTTGGGAGTCTGGCACATTGGGAGTCTATTGGTCAAGCGGTAACATTGCTTTAACACTGTCCATCTCTCACAGGTGTATAATGGGGTTTGTGACCAAGGACCGTACTAAAGCTCTGCTGTATGACAAAGCTCCCGGGACGTTTCTGTTGCGCTTCAGTGAGAGCAACCGCGACGGAGCAATCACGTTCAGCTGGATCGAACATGACTCAAACGGTGAGGCGCTCCTCCCTTCTGACATGCCGTGGAACACTAAACAATTAAATGAAAGCAAATAAAATAAAGGATTTTTCTTTGGTCTTGATATCAAAACGTCAACATTTAGATTTTGCTTAAACTTTGTCTTGAAATCAAATCCGTTTTTGAGTAAATGTATTGTTGATTACTGTGTTTGGCTTTGTGTTGGTTTAGAAGAGCCGCAGATTCGCTCTGTGGAGCCCTACACGAAGAGGGAACTCTCTGCCGTCTCGCTTCCCGACATTATTCGAAACTATCGCGTGATGGCCGCCGACAACGTCCCAGAAAACCCTCTGCGGTTCCTTCATCCCAATTTACCCAAAGACGACGCCTTCAAAAAATACTATTCCAAACCTACCGAGAGTAAGAAACGCAGTTGTGAACTATGTAAAAAAAAAATCCCATTAAATGTATTAAAAAAACGTATAAATGAAATTCTTACTCTTTCTTCGTCTTTTGTTTCTCCAGAGCAAGAACCAATGGATGTCGACAAGAAGTCAGACGAGGGATACATCAGCACCACTCTCATCTCCATCTCTGAAATGTGAGTCAGTGTTAAAGGGATAGTTCACCCAAAAATGAAAATTAGCCCATGATTTACTCACCCTGAAGCCATCCTAGGTGTATATGACATTCAGATGAAAACAATCTGAGTTATAAAAAAAAATGTCCTGGGTCTTCCACTCTTTGACTAAAATAACTGACCTCCGACAGACGGCAGTACGCATCGATTTACGGCAAACTTGACGCACAACGTAATGACGGCTATTGACGCCTCTCGCGGTTCACACAAACAGGGCTGGGCAACCGCGTTCGTCATTACGTTGTGCGTCAAGTTCAAGTGTTACTCTTTTGGCGTAAATCGATGCGTACGGCCGTCTGTCGGAGGTTAGTTATTTTAGTCGATAAAGATTTAAATATGGATATTTTTCTTATACGAACGCATCGCTTCACTTCTGAAGGCCTTTATTAACCCCCAGAGAGCCGTGTGGAGCACTTTCACCATGAATAGATGCGCTTTAAAGGGGTCATATAATGGTACATGCACTTTTACAAGTTGATTGTACTGAAATGTGTGTTGGCAGTGTCTGTACACAACCATCATAAAATGATAAAAATCCATCCAGTGGTTTTGTTTTAATCTCCTTATATGTTTTCCCCTGCCTCAAATCGAGCCGTTCGAGCCTGTGACGTCACACGCTCGGAAGCCCCTCCCACGATTGTTGATTGACAGCAGCGATTCAACACAGACCCGCCCTCGCTCGTGAGCGAGCTGTCAATCATAGTCTGCGCGGACCGGCGCGGTCATTGTTGATATGCTGGAGCACTGTCTATGAGCAGAATGGCGTCTAAGCGATTGTGGTGTTCTGTTCTTGGGTGTAATAACAAACACAGCAGTCATTTTAATGTTCCTAAATCCGAACCGCTGAAGACGCAGTGGCTGAGTTTGTTTTCGAAGGGAATATTCCACACGAGCAACGTCAATGCTTTCATGTTTGCGCGAATCATTTCTCACCAGACTGCTTTATAAACGAGGATCAGTATAAAGCTGGTTTTCTATGTATGATGTTCTCAATATAATTCATAATCCCACGTTTATACTGAACAACGCGTTATGGTTATTGTGTTATTGTGTTACAAACGGTGTACACACAGAACAGAGAGGCGGGGTGAGCGAAGCTCATTATCATTTAAAGTCATATGCACTGAAACGGCGTGCTGAAAACAGAGCTGTTTTTGACCAAGTAAAATAAGTGTTTTCTTACAATACTAATGAGAATTTTTAAATAAAGTATATTACAAACTTTTAATTTAGACCCTAAAGAATCATACTAGCTTGTACAAAAATGGCATTATATGACCCCTTTAATGTACTTCCAAAGACATATGGCCATTCACTTACATTATCAAGCTTGGAAGAGCCAGGACATTTTTTAATATAACTTCGATTGTATTGGTCTGAAAGAAGAATGTCCTATACACCTACGATGGCTTCAGGGTGAGTAAATCATGGGCAAATTTTCATTTTTGGGTGAACTATCCATTTAAAGCAATAAATCCCGCAAATGTCATTTCTGTACAGAAGCTTGTTTCCACCACCACCAAAAAAAAAAAAAAAAAAAATGAATGCGACTTTACTGTATATCTGACAATTCAGACTATTTCTCGCATTTTCAAATTTTTAACTCGTAACTGCATGTTTATATCTCGCAACTCAGACTTTATAACTCGCAATCCTGACATTTTACTTGCAATTGCAAATTTATATTTCACAAATCTGACTTTATAACTCTCGCAATAATATCTCGCAATTCCGACTTTTTTAACTCGCAATTCTGACGTTTTTCATTGTTTATATTTCGCAATTCAGATTTTTTCTTGCAATTTCGAGTTTGTAACTTGTAATTCTTACTTTCAACTCACAATTGTGGGTTTATATCTCGCAGTTCTGACTTTATAACTAACAATTCTGACTTTTTACTTGCAATTGCAAGTTTATATTTTGCAAGTGGGATACCATAATTTGAAATTCTGATATTTTAATTGCAATTTAGTTTTTAAGTTTTTAACTCGCAATTCTGACTTTTTTATTATTCGCAATTGCAAAGTTTACTGTATATCTTGCAATTCAGACTTTATCAAGACGCAATTCTAATATAACTCACAATTCAGAATTTTTATATCTCGCAATTCTCACAATTGCGATTTTACTGTATACCTCTCATTCAGACTTTATTTCTCGGAATTCTGACTTTTTCTTGCAATTTCGAATTTGTAATCCACAATTCCTATTTTTTACTCGCAATTGAAAGTTTATATATCGCAACTCAAGACTTTATAACTCGCAATTCTGACTATTTCCTCATTTTTATACGTTTTATTCCATGATGGAAACAAGCTTCCATATTTCTGAGCTACTAAACAGGATTGCAAAAATAACGACTTCTTTTTTTAATGTATTTTTTTGTGTGCGTTTAAATATGTTCGAATTTTAGGAAACCGCAAGAATATAATGACACGCTCATGCCAATGTCACCTGAGGTATTCGACCAGCTGAAGCTGGAGGTGGTATGTAAAATAATAATCTATATAATTACAAAATCTTTTAAACCAATAGTTCAATATTAACTGCAGTTATTCTCTCCATTTCTCTTTATTCTAGAACCGATACGATATCCGACTGGAGGTAGAGTACTACTGTTCCTTTTTATAATCTATAAAATGCATATCATCGATTTGACTTAAATTTATAAATTGCACACTGCATAGAGTTAGATGCTGATTTTGTTTTTTGTGTGTTTTATCGCAGCCGTCAGACTTCAGCCTTTCTTAAGTCACCTGAAAGATGACAGATGACTCAGGAAAAAGTAAAAATGTTTCCATCATTCTGTGTTTTTAACAGCGCAAATGAAATGGGAGCAATTCGTGTAGCCATTGGGTTTGGTATTCCTCTCTCTTTCATTCTAACATTGAGGAAATTATTCAAAAAACACTGTATACCCTGTCAACTATCGCAAAAAGTGGAAAATGGAGCCAATTAAACCCCATAGTAATGCTACTGTTACCTCAGCACTTAATCTAAAAACTAAAGCAACTTTTAAGGCAGGGAAGTTGTGTACTAATAGTACTCCATTTAGTGTAGCACCAAGTAGTAAACGAGAAAGTAAATGCCGAGCAGTAAATGAGTGAACGAGAAAGCTAGACGGATGAATTTCACAAAAACTGTTTAATCTATATTTTCTATAAAGAAAATTAAACCTATTTTTAGGACTACTAAGATTTGTTTTAACAGTTAAGCACATTTTAATCCACATTTTTTCTTTATAAGAATGCAAACAAATCATTTATTTAATCGCTTTGATGGGAAAAAACATTTACATCTCAGGGTTGTTTTTGTACTGCCTTTAATTTATGCTGATTTTAATACAAAAAAAAATCTAAAGTTTTTACTGTAATACTGGAATTAGTGTATCACAGTAATAAATCCATTATAAGAATAAAGAAAATAACAGTGGGGAAATGTGCTGAACTGTCATGAAAAATTCATAATGCAATAAATAAAATAAGAATGCAACAAATTGTCCTAAAATAGGCTTCCTTTTCTTTAAAAAGTTTCTTCTGTTAGATTTTCGGTTTAAAAAAAAAACACCTGGACGTGTTTTTGTAAGATTCACCCAGAAAGAACTAAGAAATGCAGGGATTCGGGTTTCCTAAACTGTTTCTGTATAATGTGAAATTCCTAAACTTGCAGGTGCTTTATTAGTATCATGTCCACCTTATGTACTTTATGTTGTTGTTTCTACTTTTTGCACTGCTGTGTTTAATTACAGAGCAATATTTGCCAGTCTAATTTGTTTTGGGCTTCATAGAAAATTTTGGTGGAAATCCATTTTGTTTGGAATGCCTTAAAAATGTGCACCTGGAAACTGTTGGTACAGACAATACGAAAATACACCCACATACATTGGCGAGAGCATACCTGGAAAGCATAGTTTTAAAAAAAATATATTGTGTACGGATGTCTGAAAATCAAAATATATCATCATCCGGATAAAACCACCAGAAAAATTGAGTAAAAAACCCCATTTATAATCTGTGTTCAATGTCTTTATTTTTTTATCTAGTATTCTTTTGTGTGAAATATAGTATCAGCATCGACGTTAAATTCGAACAAATCTAGAACATCTACAGCATTTATTTTAATTAAATAATAAAGTAAAAGGAAATTTCACAACACAATGCAAATACATTCATAGCAGTAAATAACAAATGCTGAAAAAACAAAAGAAATTACACAAAGCAACTAAAGTGCGACACATTGAAATACGATCAATGACCTACTTTTGTTTGTACTTTTGGTCGTGTTGCTTTTTCTTTTTTTTTATACAATACATAACATTTCCCAGTTAAGCATGTACACACACACACACACGCGCTACAAAACACATTTACAATACTTCAATAATAGTGTCCCACTAGAAAATATTCACATATTGAGACTGACTGAGCTTTGGAGGTTCCAAGTATACGCACGCCTCTTCGTCGTCCGAAATGTACATTAAAACAATCAGTGTGCTTGTGCGCATACACATGTGACCTACTGTTTTCAAATAGATTCTCAAAGTTACACAACATGTTTATACTGCATTTTGAAAATTGCAGTCAGTGTTAATACCAGTGCAATTTTTGTTTATTTTCAACTTTCAACCTTGCTTGTCATTTCACCATGTACTAATAAAACCGGAAATATACCAATTTTGCTTGGTTCTTTTTTCCTATGATAGCTAAACAATAATCACATGACAAAGACTTATTAAAAGTGTAAATTCCTTGCAGTTTGTCTGATTGCAGAGACAAAATCCATTTCCACATCCTGGAGTTTTGCAGAATTTAAAACATTGCAGAATTTAAAACATTGCAAGTCATTTGTAAAACCTTTCCAAATAATGATCCATTAGGCGACTGTCGTAATATTTACAGTACACCAAAGTATTGAAATTTTGTTGTTGTTGATGATATAGTTTTAGAAAATACAGGAAATTCCCATAGTACAATGAACAAACAGGTCCTCTAGTGCTTTAAAGTAATTTTGGTAACATTTTACAATAAGTTTTCATTTGTAAATATTAGTTATGTATACAGGTATCAATTTTACAGCATTTATTAATCCTAGTTATTGTTAATTACTACATTTACTAAAACATGTTAAATTATACATTGATAGCATCAAATATGTTGAAGAAATAAATACATTTTTATGATGCCTAATTTAATGTTAACAAATTGTAAAACTGATAAAACGTACTTGGAAAGAACTTACCTTAAGTGTTACTGTAATTGCATTTGCAAAAATATTTGAAAAGACAAATAAATAGATATAATAATAAATAAAAAAAGTGCAGTTATTTTTGACATTCAAAGAACAGTGTCATATTTGGAACATATTCACAAAATGATACACAATAAAAAGGCATAAAGAACTACTACTGTTGATTTATAACCAAGTTAAGACTAAAGTAGAGGATAAAGAAAAAGTAAAAATATAAAATAAATCAAAATGACATCACACCCAATGCTACCCTCTCCAGTTAAGCTGCCGTTTCTTACGATATCTATCTTATCTATTTGACATCTATGAAGATTCTCAAATTGTAAATGAATGTTCATATACACTGTTTATATATACTTGTTTTGAGTATATGAAATTATATTGTATGTTTACATGGATATACATCTAAATAAGACCTTTATGACGCTACATTCCTACATTTACCGTACGAGTGTACGATAAAACAAAATTACCATGTTAACGGAGGTTACACACACACACACACACACACACACACACACACACAACAGAGTAAAAGGGGCCAAACACTTTTTCCCCCCCACATTTGTAAGTTTTCTTCTTAAATAAATGCGTACCTCAGACACACAGACTCAACGGGAAAAATCTGAAGTGTTTTAACTCAACACATCATCTCTACAGCAGGCCGTCCAGGTTCTTCTCGGCGGTCTCTTTTTCGCTGTCGGCGGTGCTCTCCTTGGGGCTGTAGGTGTTGTGATAGTCCTTCAGAATTGTTACGACATCATGATGGCCAAAATGAATGGCCTCGTCCATGGGAGTGTTGCCCCACCTGTACAGAGATCAAACCCCAAATTTGGTTACCGTCAAGTCATTTTGATTGAAACAAAACAGCTAATATGGAAGTTGAATGGGCGAATGTACAGCACACACATTAAAAATAAACAGTTCATGACATTAAATTAAACTTCATAGATCAACAAATAAAACATTTTACTCGATTTATGTCATTTAAAAAACAAGATTTCGCTTTTAAACCCTCCAGTGCGCTTGCTCTGTAAATTTCCATTGTAAATGGCTTATTGTAAACATTGAAATAAAGCAGTATGAAATTTGGTAACACTCAGTAAGTTTCTAACAATCTATATTTATTAATTAACATAAAAAATAAAAGGTTAATTATTAGTTTATACCGAATTAACAAACTTAACTAAATGTTAACAAATTGTAAAACTTATTTTAATAAAACTTACTATATATATTTTTTTGCTGTAAGTTAATTTGAAAAAGATAAAGAATTAATATATTCACCACAACCACTGAGATAGTGTGTTAAAAATAAAAGTAGTGTCCAAAATATTTTACTTGCCACCAGAAAGTGTTCCATCTGTAATTTCTATAAATATTAATATTATTGCTAATAAATTAAGTTAGTTTAAGCACAAGGAATTGACACAAATGTTCAATTCATTAACATTGTTAGTTTATGATCTACCTAATCTATATTTATTATCATTAACCTAGATCAATCAAATATGTGCAAATGGTTAATTATTAGTTTATAACTAATGTTAATAACTTGAAAACAAAAGTAACATCCAAAATATCATGTTTTACCACCACCCACACAATCTTTTTTTGTTTTACTGAAGAAAGTGTTCCAGTGAATTCTATAAATAATATTATTGCTAGTAAATTCATGGTTATTGTTAAGCATAATAAATTGACACATAAATGCATTGAAATACAGTGGTATGAAATACAACCTTGTAGAGCAAACTTGAGAGCATACTATAAAATTGCATTTGTTTTGCAACGGACTTTTGTGACATACCTTTCACATTTTGGCGGTTTAAGTGGTAACGTTAAAGTTACGTAGGTTATGTAACAAAACGCAAAGATCTACGCTAGTAGTTTTTGAGATTCGTACCTGTCCTTGGGCACCGGGTTCACCTTACAGGCTTCTAGAAGAAAACGCACAACCTCAGCGTGACCTGAAAGCCACAGATTATACATTAGCATGATTTCCACACAGCGCGGAGAGAAAATAAGGTCAGTGACAGGAAACAAACAGCAAAAACAGGATATCGATACATTCAATAGATGAGTTGACTGACTCTACCTTCAGCGGCAGCTACATGAAGAGCCGTTCTCGAGTCGTAATCTCTCTGCTCCATATCCATCGACGAGAGAGCAAACCTACGCAAAAAAAAAAAAAAAACACCCATGAAGTAGGCATAAAACCAAAATAATTGAGTACGAAACTACGAAAATTCTGTACAGTAAATGCAAAAAAAAAAAAAAAACGATGGCGGTGCGGTAACGTTACCTCCTCAGAGCGGACACGTCCCCTGTGTAGGCCGCGAACAGCAGGTTGATAACGGACTTGACCTGGAAGAAAACAGACGAGTCGTTTTTGATAAATCAACGACATCAGGACATCAACGCGACAAATCGTAAAAATACCCCATACAAGACTTGACCTGGAAGGGTCGAATTTGCAAAAACAAAACTACAGTTTAACGAAACTAACAGTTGCATTGTTTTCAAAAAAGCAATAAAGAAAAACTACACACTAAGTAAAACAAAATTTGTTTTGATCACTCGTTTATTAAAACAGTAAACCACAATGACAAAATAAATAAAAAATAAGTCTAGCTTGTTTAAAGAAGATAATCTTATTGGCACAAACAAATGGTTTTTAAATAGTTGTGCATATCAGTTCACATTCATATCGCAGAACCATTCCATAATGTCAATGTTAAAACTGAAACAAATCATGTGCAGACATAAAAATCCCATCCAACGGTTCAATAACAGAGCAAATGAAATGCCAGTCTCTTGAAATTCAGCAATACATTCTTAAAAATAAAATATTAAAACAAAACATCAAGTTCAAGTAGTCAGTTTAAATAGTAGACAGTTTGTTAAATGGAAATTAACCTGATTCAGTAAGCACATTTGTAAGCGCATTCCTGGATTTTAAGAGGCACAGTTTCTGAAATGATTCCCTAAACTGACAAAGTAATGACAAACTTTTCTGGTATCAATAAACCGTTACAGTAAATATTTAATTCAAGTGAGAACTGGGTTACAGATGATTTGAATACAGGATGACATCAAGATAAACTTGCATTGTGAAGCCACTAGTCACACAATCTTTCCTGCCTGATCATAGTCGACTAGTTCCGCTCTAGTTAGCGTTGATCACTTGTTTGGTTTTGAAACACAGTTTGGTTTGTAATTCTACAATGCTTTCCATTTATAAGTTACAAATAACACAAATTTTTGTATGTGTGTGCAAACAATCAAAATTAAACATTGTGGCTGCTGGATTGAACCCAGAGAACAGGAGGATTAAAGTAACACTTTAACAGTCTCAGATTTTACCAACACATTCACCAAACTTTTAGACATTACATAAAAAAACGGGTGAATGAAAAACAATAATGTAATAAATGTACAGATAAAAAAATAAAATTGTAAATGTAAAGAACAATTCTTTTTGAAGGTCTTTGTGGTTACATATCATATATATATAATTATTTTTTAAACTTTTTTTGTCATTTTTGTGCCTCTAGCAGCAACAAACAGAATTGCGCAACTGCTTGCTATCAAACCAGTTTCCTGAACACTCAAGAAGTCCAACCAAAACTCAATGCTGCCGTTTAGGGCAGGTTCAGGAAGTCAATGTACAAATGGTTTACTTCTAAATTAAGATCTCTCTTCACATTAAACTAGGATAGGAGAAAGTATTTTAGCTAGCAGTGGGGGAAAACAGTAAATATATGAATGAAGATACAATCAACAAATGCATCACAATATTATTGTATTGTTACCCAGATACTGATATTGTATTGTTTGGTCCTTGCTGATACCCCAAAATGTAACAAAATAATTGCACATTGGGTTTAAAGGTATTTGGCATGTTCAATAGTGTGCATTTCAAGCAAAAACCAACAAATCCTCGGCAAAACTAAAAACCAAACAAAATCAAACAGAACAAAACAAAAATGAATCAAACAAAACAAAAATAAAAACAAGACAGACAACCTCTCTAATCCCAAAGATTTATAAACTCAAGAAAATGAATGGATGACAAAACGAGGAAGAGTGGTCGCTGTTGTCTCTTCTAGTTTCTTTCCGCCACGCTTTCCATCCTATAGACTACAGAGGTGGAAGTGTCCTCGTCCGTCTCGGAAGGACAGACTTTTTTCCACACTTTGTCAGTGAGCGCTAGTTCCTTCTGAAGGCTCGTATAGTCCAGTGGTTCGAGATTCTGCTGCTGCTGCTGCGGTTCAACCAATACGGACATGCATAGATTATCAGATTAGATTATTTCATCATGGAATTTCCTGCTTGGATTAGTATGAATGGGAGAGAAAGAAGAAAACACGGAAACGGTGGAAACTTAAGCAAGCCAGCCGATCAGAACGGCACTGAGGTGTTATTTTCTAGTATAGATATGTATAATTATCATATTATATTATATATTAGCAGGTGTATGCAATTTAGCTTCCTCAAGTCACATGGATGTTAGTGGCAGTTTAAAGCAGAGAGTACGCTGGTCCTCCAGAAGAGGGCAGACATTGAAGAAAGAAATACGCAATTGCCAAGAGAAGTGAAATGTTTGATAATACAGGTTAAGATTGCTGGACAGTTTGTCAGCACGCATACATGTTTGCAATGTATGCATGTAATCATAACATACATACATAAGCACACACTCACACTATGTCAACGTTACAGGATCATTTGCTTTAGTTGCATCTAGAGGTGGGATATACAGTGTATATATATATATATATATATATATATATATATACACACACACACTATATAGTTAATCCAGATAATACTTAATTACATCAAATTAATTAACTCAATCTGATGATTGGTAGCAGCAAAGCAAGCACTAGTAGGAAAGCTTAATACATATTAAGGTTCACATACCTATTTTTATCTAATAAGCTCTTTCTCATTGTCGGTATGAATTTAATTCAATATTTGTTTTGTACAACAATATTCAACTAATAATGCCAGGTTATTGCCCACCCCTAGTTGCATGTTGTTTGTGGTTGAAAGGTTGAATCTGTCACTCACCCGTTGTTCTCCGCCCTCTCTGCGTGGATCCAGTTTCTTGGCAAAGTGGCGCAAATTATCATAATTGTGGAAATTGAAGAGCTGGACCAGATCCTACCAAAGGAAAGAACAAAAGATTTAAATGCAGTGAAAGAGCAAGAAATCGACCGATTCTTCTCAGTTAGCTGAGATGATGTAGATTTAGTACCGTGCAAAACTGGATTCCTCGCACACTGTTGCCCAATTTGTCAAGAGGAGGAGACCAACACATGATGCCCATCACATTGGGCACTACCAGCAGGATGCCTCCGGCAACACCTGATTTAGCCGGGAGACCAACCTACAGCACAACACACAACTTTAATTTGACCTAGATTGTGAATGCGCTTGTTTTTCGTTGAAACTACAACCGTTAGACATTTTCCCAGGTGCGTTTACGTGCGAAACTCACATGGAAAGCGAACTGTCCGGAGAAGTCGTACATGCCGCAAGAGTGCATGAGACTCAGAGTGTCTCGTACGGCCTCGGGGTTCAGCACACGCTCGCCCGTGATTGGACAGAAGCCGCCATTCGCCAGGGTAGCTGCCATCACACTGGCACTTTCGCAGGTTACCTCAATGGAGCACAGCTCAATAAACAAAACAAAAACATGTTTAATTATAGGTTTTCTGATATTTAAATCTAAAGGGGTCCTTTTATGCTTTTTTACATTTTCAACTTTTTTTAGTGTGGATCCTCTATATCAGCAATTAGTTTCTGAACTGTGAGTGAAAATGGTTGTTTAACTTATTATACTAACCTGGAAGTAAAGGTCCAGGATGGAAATCATGTCTGTACCCTCCGGGAAACACTGCAAGTATGAAGAATAAAAATGTATGTTTTTAGACGATTTTCAATGATCTCTAAATACTGTAAAATGTTTAAACACGTACCTTCTTCTCCTTCAAGTAGTAACCAATGGCAAAATTTCTGTCACCTGACAATCGCTCTGATTGAAACCTGCCAAGAAAAAGAAAGAATGTTTAGGAATTGTGTTTTAAGTAGGAAAGTCCGAAGAAAAGGTAGTACCGGTAAGTTTATACTAAAATAATAACTTTCTTTACATTTGATATCAATGTTGTGTTAAAAAGTGTTTGTGTCACTACTGTATATCAATAATTGATTGCTAGTTCTGAATTTTAAATTTCTGAATGTTAAATTGAATTTATGCTGCCGTTTAGATATTTAAAAATCTATTCTTCAGTTTGATTCACTTGTTTATTTTATTACTGACTGACTACTTGATAATTTAACTGTTTATTTAACTGAGAAAGTACTTTAAGTAGTATCAACATTTGTGTTGAACAGTGAAATTTCATTGTTATTAGTATCTGGAACACTTACGTAGCATTGCTGAAACCAACATACTCATTTCCGGCCAACTTCTTCATAAAGTTCATCACCTACAACAAAACAATGCATTAAACATAGCAGCTCTCATCATGATTAACAATAAAAATCAACAAAAAATAAATAAACAATTATATTGTATTATACTTACATAATCAAACTTCTCAGCGTTGCCTCCACCTTGCTGTAAATTTAAAATAAACTGATGAATGTGTTGTATAATTGAAGTATTTTGTATAGTTACAAACTTTTGAAAGCATAGGCATTCAATTAAAGGAAACATTATTAAACTACCACATTATTTAGACATCCACATTGACACAGATGTTCTATAAATTAGATTGACAATTGTAGTAAATTAATTTTTCTACAGCATTTCAAATTATGAGGATTCTGGCTCACTATATTCGAGTAACATCACTCAAAGAAATGAAGGAAAACTGTTCAAGTAAGTATTACTATTGTTGTGGAATCACAAATGTAAGTTGTTAAAGGGGGTTTGGAAAAATCTGACAAAACTAAAAGATTAAAAGAACAATTTCAACACTAAATTGTTAAGTAATTTTTGTTGTCTGTAAGTTTGTTTTAATAGAGTTCTAAACAAACTGTAGTGAGACATTGTGCGTCTCATGCAATGCATTTATTTGAGGCTCTAAAATAAGTAAACTTTTTTTTCCACATTGAAGAAATGTTTATTTACAAAGAAAAAGTACTGTTTTAAACACTTGAATTTGTAAGTTGGGAAGTAACTAAAAATTAAAAAATAAAATAAAAATAAAGCTTGATTCCTTTTCCCACAGTAATTAAACAGAATCACATATGATTTTCATTCAAAGCAATGAATTTGTCAGACTTGTGCTAATGTAGCTTAGCATTAGCTTAGTTTGAAATTTGTTCAATGAGGAAAAACAAATAAATGAAAGGGAAATTACCAACGTCATTGACCTGTTGGAGGGTCAATATTTCCCACAGTTCCTAATGCTGTAAAATACGCAACAACAATAAAACCACAAAAAAGCCTTCACACAGACATCACACATTACCACCCCGACAGGCCTGAGGAAGATGCGCATCATGCAGTGTATTTACCTTAAACACCACAAATCTTCATCACAAATTTGTAAATTACAAAAAAAGTTATGTTGTTATAAATATCTACTTAAACATTTTAGTTTGTAGCATTGTTTATCATTGTTTTAACGTATATACATACAGTTGTAATCAAAATTATTCTAACATGCAGTCAAAAGTTCAGATATTTCATGGGTTCTAGCTTAAGCACACCTGGTGCAACTATTGAAGCCCTTGATTAGTTGCATCAGGTGTGCTTGAGACAACACCTGTTTTGCAGATTTGTGCTGTTGTGAGGCACTCTATTCAGGGGGTTGAATAATTTTGAGACTGCAGAAGTCAATAAAAGGGGCATTTTCATTTGAATTTGGGGAAACCACCTGAAACATTTGTGTTTAGCTATTTCAATTACTTCTGTTTGATTTGTTCATTGCAAACGGCTGAAAGTCTGTATATTTTGCCAATAAACCTGATTTGCAATGGGGGTTGAATAATTTTGATTACAACTAGTGTTTGAAACACTTTTTTTGGCCTATTTAAATTACTCTTGCATCTGTTTGCTCTTTTCCCTCTATCTTTCCCCATCCCACTTCCGTTTCCCTCTCTTCAATATAATCCTTTCAGCATGATTATTCATAACCTTAATCTGATGAGAGAGGGAAAGTAATCAGATTAAATCCATTCGTTCCTCTGATTCGTTCTCACGTCAAACATCCACAAACGCATCAAGCTAAATATTTGGCAAGGCAAATTCAGGCTATCAATTTAAGAAAAATAAAAAAGGAATTCTGCTGAACTTAACACATTGTGCAGGAACTACAGCTAATGGCAGTTTTGGACCCCCATTTTTATCAAAACAGAAGAAGAATGTGGAGAAAGAATGACATTTACCTTGAGAAGGGAAGTGCAAACTATAGCGCCAGCGTTTACCATGGGATTGTGAGGTTTATCTGGAAAAATAGATGAATGAATCAATAAATAAAGCCTATTTTGGTACAATTCTCTATTATTCTTATTTCTATAATTTTTAGTTTTATAAGTATATAATTGTTTTATTTTTAATGATTTATAAATGTAATACATTACAACAAATAATAAAGTATGAACAAATACTTTTTTTTTTTTTTTTTTTTTTTTTTTTTTACAGTAATGAGAACTTTTTACTTTATGGTAATGAGAATTATAGGGAACAATGTGCTTAATTGTCTTGAAAATAATGCGATAACACAATTTTTTTAATTTAAGTGTTTAATTTCTTTCTTTTGATTTTGGAATTAAATAGAACAAGACCATTCATTTAGTTCTATCTATTTCCTCATGCAAAATAAGTTTCAGAAACATTTATCATAGAAATCCTTACCATCTTCGTCAAGGAAGAGTTTGTTGAAACGAAGGCCGCTGGGTTCCTTCCCTATAAAGCGGTGGACGTATTCGGTGCCGTGATCGTGAACCGCAATTGCGTATTTTAACGGTTTCACACACGACTGCAGACAAAATGGAACTTTCGTGTCACCCGCAGTGTATCTGTAACATACAACAAGTCCGGTTTGGAATTACGACAGGCCATAAATGTTTGATCAATCACATTTTTTATCTAAATGTTTATCTACACCAGAAAATATTAACAAAAATACAGCAAAATCGAAACAATGTAGCTATTTTACTAAAGACAGAAAGCTCACCGTTGGCCATCTACAGTGCAGAGGGAAACGGCCCAGAGATTAGGACTGAATTTCGCTAGCTGAGGAATGTAATCTGCCACCTACACAAAAAAGTGGCAAAACAGAATGTAAAAATATTTGTAAACAAATAGCATCAGAAATTCACACTGTGTGTTATCTTCTAAGCGTACCTGGCCACCCGACATTGATTTAGCACCCTCGTAAATTTGATCGATGTGAGAGGTGAACGACTGAAAGTCGGGAATGACAAACTTTTTTCGGAAAGCCTGTGTTAGCAACACAATGTTGCTTTGCACACACCTGTAGGAAGAGAAAAGTGAAGATCGGGATTTATCTTTATCATTAGTACGTTCCTGCAAATCAGGGTTATTATCATTAACTAGGCCTAAAGCTAAAACTATTAAAAACATTTCTGTTAATTGAAATAAAGCTGAAAAAAATATATATATTAGTTGATTTTTCAACTAATATTTTTAAAACTTAAACCTAACAAAAATGAGAAATTTTTCCTTAACAATGAAATGAAATAATTAATTGGAAATTAATAAATGAATACTAAAATGACTATAGTTTTAGTTAATACTAAAGTTTTTGTGGAAAACTTAAAACAGAAGTTACTTAGTAATTGTTCTGCAAACAGTTCTGGAAACATAGAAATTATGAAGTAGTTTCAAATATTTCAATTTCTAATAATTATTTAATAGAAATAGAAATTTCTAATAGAAATATTTTAGAATATTTCTAAATATTCTAGCATTCCCATGCAATATAAAAGGCCCGAACTTGTAATATAAAGAGCTGTATGATGTTATGTTCAAATCTTAGGCATTTCTTTTTTTTAGCTATACTGAATAATTCATATACTGCAGGACTATCAAAAGGGCCTTTAAAAAATGTCCTAGGAAAATTGCTGACCTATGAAAACTGAAATCTGAATCTAACAGTGACAGTAACAACTGGACTTCAACAGACTAAAGAGATACTCAGAATTCATGCGAGAACTGGGATAAACACACTACAATATATTCTTATTTTCTCAACTAAAACTGTTAGTTTTAACCTTTAAACAAATACGGGTTTTGTATAATTACTTTTTGAAGAGATGTCGATCCAGAGCACCATCTGTAGTGGTCTTGAGGGTGACCTTTAACATCTCCATACACTCCCTAAGACGAGGGTCTCCAGTACGCAGACCTGTGGCCTTCAGTGCCTGAAAAACCACAACATTCACCCTAAATTTACAACAAATCTTGAGTTTCATTTGACCCGCAGTTTTATTGCAGAACATATCGAAGGATTCGTCATTCTAGACACAACTATTTGGAAACCAAGATATGTGCTAAAAGAGATATGGTAGCAATGGCTGTGCTTTGCTTGGCCAGCGGGTGTGTTTTTACCGTGGTAAATTTGTGAGCTGGAATTTTCTCCTGGCCCTCTGCAATGGTGTAAAACAGCAGATCTTCCAGGCTGGGCAAAATGCCTGCCTTCCTTCTCCTGTGACGTGAACAGATACACAAAGAATCCAGTAAGAAGACAGACAACAAAAATATAATAAATATATTCAACAAAAAGGGTTGATCAGCAGCAGGAGAGGTCGTACTGAGATTTCATGTTTTTAGTTTCAGAATTACTCTCAAAATGACAGGAAGTAGGTATTTTGAATAAAATAAAACCAATTGCATTAGTCAAATACCCACATCTTTGTAATTTGTAAAAAGGGCCAGGCCCAAAATATACTTGCTAACATAGTCTGCCACTAGGGGCACTGTAGCGGGTTTTAGCATAAACAGTCTTCTTCTATGGCAATTTTTTAAACTGTCAAGGCAGATCAACAGTTTTAGGAGAATCTTGCTATTTAGAACTAGTTACATTTATTAATAGTTAGCTGTAACACATACATGTATTTGCGTAAAGCATTTCTTTAAGAAGGATTTTTTTTTTTACCACTGACTGACATTTTGAGGTCATCTGAAAAAGGTTAGTCTGTTAGAAAAGGTAGTTGTGTAACATAATATGGATTTGCAGAGGTTTACTATGTTAAGCAGAAGCTTAGTAAAGCATTTGGGAATAAAACTTCCAAGGACCTCCTACAGTAGACTCAGAAGTTTCAACAATGGATTGTATTCTGGGAAAGCTACAGGATCCCATATAAGGCCTTGAAAAAGAAGCACTTTGGTTTATAAACCGACAACAAACCATCCCGAAATGAACTTAAGACACTAACTTCAGAACCGGTAAGTTGGTGGAAAAAATATTGTTCTTAAACCCAATTGAAAAATTGTTTAAACAATAGTGACCAATAGCGACTCAAGGCCTTTGTGATGTCATTTCGGGATGATACATGTGGTTCTAGAACACTGAACGGGAATGGGAAAAGCAAGCATAACATTTTGCAGGAGTGAGAAACAATTGGAAGAGAAAAATAAATGACATCATATAAAATAAACTTTAAAATGATACTTACACAAAAAAATGCAAAGTTCGCAGACCAACCAAAAGAGAGAGAAATAAAACAGAAATGAACGATACATTCAGACATAAAACACTGACTTAATAAATAAATAAATATACACCCACTAAAATATATATAATGTATAAAAAAATAAAAAAATGATGTATACATAAAATATACAAAACATTTTCCATAATGTTTACTCAAAGTATTGATAAATATTTTAAAAAAATATTATCCAATGTTGAGGCTGTCAATAGATTTTTGAAAACTGACACAGAACACAAAACAGACAAATATTGGTTGATTAATCGGCCTTGTCAATATTGGCCTTTAGTACAGCCTAATAGTCAAAACAATATCAGATGCAATTACTATGTGCCAAACACAACCCGTGCTCTGATGCGACATTAAACTAGGACACGTAACCTGACGAGAGCAGCCGCTCCTCCCGTCCCGTACACTGATGCTGAGTTAAGCCTTCACTTCCTAGCAAGTTCTCAGTTCTGATCCTCGCTAATGCACAGGCACCGTGCCAAACGGACTCTCTGGCGTCGCTATTTTTACACACAACCACACCGGAAATAATCCACTTGATGGCACAGCTCAATAAAACATTGTTTGTTTGTTTTTATGATGGTTATTTAACATGTAACAGTTATATGAGATAAGAAAAGTTGGTAACAAAACAGGTTTAGCATGAATAGCATCCAAATTGGATTAGCCCACTTCCGAAATGTATAAACTCTTTTCCAGTAAATTTTATACTTTAATATAAATCACTATTTTTCAAAACATAACTTTGACTTCTTGTAAAAGCTTTTAAAAGACTTTCCAGTAAACTACACTTTACTTAACCTCTTAACCCGCCGGCGGGCCCATTTGCCATTGCATGTTTAAAACAATAATATCTTAGTAAAAACCTAAAGTAATATTGCCAAACTATATATCATTTGAAAGCTTAAAATCTCTAGTTTTCATATTTGGTGGCTGTTATCTAAAATATATTACAGAGGAGCAGAAATTTATCAATTTGCAACAAGAATATTTCATATTCATTAGGAGTATTTAGGCCTTTATTTTGAAATAACAATAAACATGAAAAATCATGAAAGATTGGTAGAAACCTCAGTTTGTTTTCATGCCATGAGTTCAAAAGATAACACCAATTCCATTTTATGAGAAAAAAAGGTCTGAAAATGTTTTAAATATAAAGAAAAATGTATGGATTCTCGATTTGTAATGCGGCTGCGAGCTATAACGCTATAACGTAGTCTTTATGCATTTATTAGAGGTTTAATTCAAATCAAATACTGCCAAACCACCCATACTACTTCTGAATAGGATGTCTACTTCATAAATTGTATGAAAATTATGGAAATACATGGTTCAGATCACTCAAAACATATGAAAATGGAGGCGCCCTTATATGGGCAGTAATGGAGTCTGGTGTTCACCTAGTGAAAAAGTTGGGTACTGCGCCCGAATAAAATCTTACTGAAAGCTCATTTTTTGAGATATCAACCTATAATTTGGAATACAACTTGTTCAGATATTTGACTTTATTTTTCTTGCAGTTTTAGAGTAAAATATATTTTGTAATATATATATTTTATATAAAATATTAATCATTATATTTTTACATTACACAATTTCATAAACTCAAACTTATATAACTTTTTTTCTGTTTCATTTTTTACAATTTCTGGACTTCTACAATAATCTGGAAAATGTCTTCTTTAAAACAAGACCAGCCATAGGTCTATATTCCAAAGCATTCCTGAATTACAACCATTTAAGTTTCGATAGTGATTTTTATGTCTATGCAAAAAAAAGGGGGGTGCCAGTTAACAGGTTAAAACATAAAGCTAAAGCTATCGTTTTCGTCACAGTCTTGAAGCAGTAGGGATGCATGATATATCGGCAACCATATCGGTATCGGCCGATATATGTTCATTTTTAATGTTATCGTTATTTGGCTGATACATTAAAGCCGATAAATAATGGATTATATAATGGGCACTTGAGATGCGCACTGTTTGCCATGATAGTTTTGAATTGTTTGAAATATGAAACACTTCAAAAAGGAAAATACAGTTAAGTGCAACATGTGCAGCGCAAATCTGTCATATAGACAACATAAAATTATTATTACATTATAATTGTTTGCTTGGGACATGGCTTTTAATGGGGAGACTTTTGTTTTTGTGATCAGGCTCTCAAAAATTATATAAAAATTTGGATTTAGATTTATCGGACAATATATCTGTTATCGGCTTTGTTTCAAATATAAATAATTATTGGTATCGGCTAAAATTTTCATATTGCATTGTGGTGATACCATAGTATTGAATGAATACCATTCTCATGTACCATGGTATTTGCAGTGAATATTTCAATACGAATGTGTGTTTGTGTTGAAGCAAAATGTCAAAAAGACGTGTTTGTGAACACCTGGAAGTGGGATGATTCAGTAACAATATCTTCATTATCTTCTTACACCTCAACGAGAATCAGTCAAACAACCAGCAAAACAGCTGACACTCCCACAGAATCGCATGCTTAGAGATTCACTGCAACATATTTTGGCCTGCAGTGAATAAACACCAGAAAATGAACCAGCTGCCACTAACTGAAAAGTACCATAGTACTACCATGATTTTCTAATGTGATATTCCATAAAAAAGAACAGGGTTTATATAATTTGCTTGAGGATGCTCTGGCATAACCTGGCATGATTTCAATGCAGCAATGGCATGCAGAGATGCCATCAATGCCAGTGTCACACACACAGACACACACAGTCAGCTGGTGCCTTCATGTCAGATTAATCTCAAAGACGAGCGAGTCTACTGTGAGGTTATTCATTTGATACTCCCGTTAGTGTTCGCACTGCAGGATTTGCGTTAAATCCAACAAAAACAACTAAAAGTAAAATTAGCCATTATTTTAGTATTAACAATCTTTGTTGAGTATGAAAATTACATATACACAATATATTGGTCACTAGCTATATCTAACATAGGCATATTTTAAAATTATCGGTTGGAAACTGATATTAAGGCCACATCTAGAGTGTTAACTATAACAGTAATTATATTAGCGTCCACACCGACAGACTGAGAACATTCTGTTGATTATAAGCACGCTGCAGTTTTGTCGTCTGCCACTTTAAATGCTCTTTAAAGTCAGGTGGATTCTGATTGGCTGTCAAGGTTTTTATCGTTCATCCGCTGGAAAAATCATTCTGAAAGTGATTGTGTTGATATCACTGTTGTTATCGGTATAGTTGTGGTGTGGACCTCCATATTCTCACAGAATTAGAATGATTATTAAAAATGTATAGTTACAGTAATTGTTTCCGTTTTCTTCCTTGATGTGTGGATGAGCCTTTAGAAGCCAATATTTGTTTTTACTTTTTATGTAAGGCTGCAAAAGTACTAGACAGCTACATCATTTCTACTACAAAAAGTGCGGTCACATTTCTTTGACATTTTGCTGGCAAAAAAGCGAAACTCCTAATCTCACATTCTCCTGTTGAAATTACTGGATTTTGATGCACCTCTTATTTAAAATGTATGATTCAAAATTTGAAAAAAACTGGTGCTTGCCTGCTTGAAACTCACCTGTAAAATACTTGAAAAACTAGTTGAGGAACGACCACTCCTCGAGTGGATAAAGGACCTTGCTGAAAATGAACATTTGAACTCCCCCTCGTGCACTATTGAGACGAAGGTCTCACCTCCCTCATCCTAATCTACATTTCAAGAATCTATATGGTTTAATGTGAATAATTATCATCGAGTGTTATACATATTTAGTATCATTCGAAATGTCTAGAGAGTTTAGAGATATCTGGCACACAAAGGAACGTGTTCTCTAGTCTAGACAAATGGTCTCCTACCCCTAAAAGGTGTAACCTCTGAATGCAAATATCCATTGTTAGCACATGCTTCCATGTGAGAGAAATTTCTGTATGTCAGATCAGCCCGTGAATGCTGAGAGCCGCCGGGACTCTCAGCTTCATGTATTTCCTAATGTCGGGTTCGCATCTCTTCTCTTTATTCCAGAGCATTTGATGTTATTGTTTTGATTATATTTTGAATTGGTTATGAAATTGACATGATACATTTACCTGACATAATAAACTGTAAACATTTGATTTAATTCGAATCGACTTTTCAGTAAAGAGTTCAACAGAATAGTCAAACATTCGCTCACATTTAATGATGCACAGATTAAAACCTTTTCATTTATGGAGTCAGGTGAAATAACGAGAAAATACATATGATAAATGTATTTGATTTAATCAAAATTACTTTGCCATGAGGTTAGGCTATAACAAGCAGAGACCTTCCGTGCTGGTCGGATGCCGGATTTTGGGCCGATTTTACAATACTAAGCTATTCTGATTGTTTGCCAGGGTGTTGCTATTTGGTTGGTAGTGTTTTGGGGATTAAATGTAAAGATGGAATTTTATTTTTGCCCAGTTTTTTCGTGAAAAAATCATAACACTAATTATCTGCAATGAGAATATATGAAGAGGCCACATGTCTTGTTGTTGGAGACTCCCTCAGGACAGAGCACATGTGCCTCAGAAACCTGACACCACAAATTACAGTGCAGAGAAGAGCGATGCCCTGATAACATGATATTGAGAGACATTAAAAGAGTATTGGGTTCACCAATCAGCAGCGCTAAAAAAAAGAATGGGGGGGTGTCTTCTTATAATTCAGCATTTGTCTGAATGTGGTTACCATTGACAACCAGCTTATGCCATCCTCTATTGCTAAACTACGACATGAAAAATGACTGGATGTGTTCCAAATCCTGGTGTGCTGATTGCATAGGCAGCATTTTAGGCACCATGTGTGTGATCCTGACAAAAACACCAATCTTATGTGGAAATACAAATTCCAGAATGCATTGCAAACCATTCAACATGGTGCACGAGATATATATATATATATATATTGTTTTTAATACCTTGAGAAAGTATTAAAAAACAAATAGTTCAACCTAATTAAAAATTGCTAAGCTCTTAGCTTAGCAAGATGCTAACAAAACTCTAATCAAATCAATTACGAATTGTATATCTTTTTGCTATATACTTATTTGAGTATTATGCTGTAAGCTTAGCACCGTGCTATCAACAAACTCTACCCAAATCAAGTGCGAGTCACATCTCCTGTCAGCTATTTACTTATTTGAGTAGTATGCTTTTATCTTAACAACATGCTAACAACAAACTCTACTCAAATCAATTACGATTCATGTCTCCTGTGTGCTATTTACTTATTTCAGTATTATACTGTTAGCTTAGCAAAATGCGAACAACTCTGAAAACTATTTTTTTAATAGCAAATTGTATTTCCTGTGTGCTACTTGACAAATTGTTGCTGCCCATGTAGAGCTTTCAAAATTAATCATTAACTGTCTTAAAAGGCAGCAACCTACGAAGGTATAACAGATAGGGCAGCTCACAACATTTTGGAACATGCATTGCATACTGGCAAAAACTTCAACAATGACAACATTTCCTCAAAGAGAAACTTACAGATGTTGCAATAAGCTGAGACCTGACCTTCACAACTCCTTGACAGACAGATGGAGAGAAAGGTCAATCTGTCTCTCCAAGGACGAACACTCACTCATACAGAAAGAATGAAAGCACAAAGCAGTGCATACTAAGATTTAAGCATAAGCTACTCGGACACATCCAGTGCATACTGAAATGTCAGCTGAAGAGCAGTAGATTTAGAGGAAATATTTTTTGAGGAAACCCCGGAATCGACACTTTCTAGCTTTGAATGCCAGCGTTACGGGAAGAGGAAGTGGCTGATCTGGCCATACAGGAACTAACATTTAACTATTTAAAAAATAATATTAAACGATAACAAGAAGTCTGAAAAATTCCTGGAAGTAAACAGAGATTTTACTCAATTTTTTTTTACTTTTTCAAAGCTGTCATTGTTTTTTTTTAGAGTTGGACAAGGATTCTTGTGACAACAAAATATCAGTGATTAATCAGTCTACCATTCATTTTACTTACATTAAAATAATAAAGACAATAAAATTTCTAACCTAGAATAGTCAGTACAGGTTTATCAATTTGGCCTACTTATTTTTAACATTTAGGGCCCAAATATCTTAAATCACATTGAAAGAATCTAGAACCTTCTACACAACCGAATCATCCTGATTTGTACCAAAAAATTAATAGTTTTGGGGGGAAAAATGTTTAAAATGTATCAAAACCCTCCCTTAACCCTCTGGGGACCAGAGTGTTTTTGGGGCCCTTGGGATGTTTTGACATGCACTGACATTTGTGCTTTTTTCAGTTATTTATAAACATGTTAATGGCAAAGGTGTAAATTCACTCTATATAGCACAAACTTGGCATCCATGATATCTGAGCAACATGTATGTACATGTTTGTATTTTTAATAGAATAATGTTTATGCGTGGTTATTGAAAAAAATAAAAATAAAAGTTGCTGAAATAAGACCACAAAACACATATTGATTATTTCTTCACAAGACTTTTGAAAATTGTATCACATAGCCTAGAATATTTGCTCCAAAACTATGTGAGAATCATCCTGACTACTCATTCAGATAAGTCAATAAAGTCTTTTACATTTTTAATGACGTGTTTTGTTTGAGAAAGCTTTATGCAGGAGGCTTGATCTCTCATTAATATGTATGGCATTCCACACCTGAGAAAGACAAAGACCCTCCCATAATGGCCCTATTAGGTGCTATCAGGCCATATCATTACAGGAGCCTTGCACAAAGAATGAGGAGATTTAAAAAAGAATGGCTTTTAGATTGTTTGGATTTATATAAGGAAAATACAGGGTGCATACGTCTGGACACTTCTATCACACACCCTTCACCATATAGACATGGTTTTATTTCAGTTCAAAGTTAGAGTTGGAAACATCTTGAAAAGAAAATTGTCTTTCTCCATAAATGTCTTAGTTTGATCATACATATTTCAAAGTTGAGGATTCATTATTTTGATATAGCTTGAACAAACACTATAACATCTTAGTTGATTAGTTTATTGACAAAACATAGGCCTACTATATATTTAACATATGAGCAGAAACTCCTAAAAAAGCTTATTTGATGTCTATTTTAGAGTAAAAACTTTATCCAAAACGAGAAATGTTGTCTGTTATTTAGTCTGTAACAGTGCGTATCTGTGCGTTCATTCATTCATTCATTCATTCACACACACACACACACGATTCACATTTAACAGTATGCTATTTTTCCGTTTACAGACACTACGTTATTCTATATCGCGATTAGAACAAAGCACTTGCATAAAACACTTACTTCTCAGCTGAATCTGTTCATCCTCGCAGTGAAAATAAATCCAGTGGTAAGTGTCCCAGGATTGTTCCTCATATAGCCGCGCAAGACGACAGTAGATTAATCTGACTAAAAAATAATGTGTGTTTTCAGAGTTTATGGGCGTTAACGCGTCTCAATGTGTTGCTTCACATATTTGCGTTTGAATAGCGCGTGCTCTCCGTGGGCGTGTCACATTACCAGGGATAATCAGCTGAGAGAACGATAATGAGACGGGCTGACACGTCTCTCTTTTTATATAGATGACATAAACGGAGAATAATAATTTTAGTTTTGAATCGGATCATTTAAAAGTACAAACTCAAATGATTTAAAAGATATATTGCTTATGGCTGGGTGAATAGTTTTAGCTGAGTTGTGTTGAAGATTAGAGACGTGCTCCAGAAAAAAAGTTCACGGTGACCGAGAGGCAGAACGCACACCCTGTTTATTTTCTTTATTTTACAAAAGCACAATATTTTATTTCGATTGTATGTGGGCACATAAAAAAAGTAGACATTTAACAGATTATTTTCTCATATTTCTTAACTCTATATGAACAGAAATGATGGTAGTACTTTAAGTCTATTTTTCTGCTATGTGAAAAAAAACGAGCAAAACGCGCCCGCGCGTTTCTGGTCCCCAGAGGGTTAAAGCCCAACCTTTACGATTATTCACAGAGGCCCCTGAGAATTTGCCCCTCATCATTTATACAACCTCTTTCTCTCTGTGCACGCTGACCTACACATCTTGTACACCTAAAAAATCTAGAAGGTCTAAAGCTGTAAATATAGTAGAACAATCTTTCACATCCATCGTCGTGATCAAGGTCTGGGATTAATTTGTCGGGATGCTGGACCCCCATGAATGAATGGATGGAGGGATGGGTCAAATCCATTTTAAAAGTGAAACCAAAGCTGATATCTATTCTTCAATGACCCTGTAAAACCCCCACATGGGTGATTGAGGTTTTGAGCTGGTTTGTTTTTCAGCACTACTCACTTCTCGTTGCTCGCATCTGTCTGCGTGCACAGGGACCGTCTATATGAAGATGCGCATCCTCCGGCGGTTGCTGGATGATCCGAATTATTTTTCCAAATGAGCCTTAGATTGGGTTTGCAAAACTCCTTTAACGCCCACGAGAACCTAAACGGTAACATTTCAAAATCGACAGGCCAAGCAGAGTAATTTCCGACAACAGTACTAGTAATATTACAGTATTGTTTATGACAAATTATGAGAACATTCGTTATTTTAGATAGTCGTGCCGGTTTCTTCCCTCGTCTCCCCTGCTCGGTGTTTTCACGCGAGTGACGACGACAGAATCGAAATGATGCTCGCACTCCATTGGTCGCCGTCACGTCATGGCGAACGCTGATTGGCTCGGGCCTCCGTCAATCATCATTATGACGCCCATCCCTTCCCTGCGCCTGGTAAAGAGAGGCTGGCTGTGTGCGTCATGCGTCCTGCGTAGTGTGCAGTACACACAGCATACTGTATGTGAAAAAATAGTATGCCAAACAGTATGTAACCCCACGTCACGTTATCACTACTACAGCTATGAGCTCGGAAACACACACACAAATATTTATATGTGTGTATGACCTTCAAATGCTGGGAATTTTACCCATTATTTGTTTAATAGTTGGTCAGAGGCATTCTTACATTTGTGAGACAATATTATGCAAAATGACAGCGGTACTGCCCTGTGTGTTCAGAGCTTCTCAACGGATGACTGGCCTGCTATTATAAGGGCCAATGCAAACACAGTGAAAGTCTCAGCGAGGTCTCATACTGTAGGTTTAGACGGTTTAAACGTGAGATTGAGGAATTTGGCACTACAAATACGAGCTATTGTTCTGGATATCCTCAAATCCAACCTGCATAGTTGAATGTGGATTTGAAACCCTCATGAAAGCCTGCTTGGATCCAAAACGTCTGCTTTAATGTAGGCTACACCAGTCTAATCAGCTATCAAACTGATTCCTTACTAAAGTGTGTTTGTTTGCACCTCGTCTGTCAAAAGTGTATTAATGATCAATACTTGTTTTTTTCCCCCTCACAGCAAAGACAATAATATGTATAATGATGTATAATGGAACATTATACAAATATGCAATTAGATTAAATTACTGTGCACATATCATTACACACTCTTTTCATTTTACAAAAGCGTGGCAATACATTAGGCTTTTTTGCCACCTTGTGGGCAATTAAAAAAATTACCAGTCTTTTGTTTATACAGGTAATGGAGATCAATGATATAAACACTATACATAACAATTATGCAGGTTTCAATTTATATATATATATATATATATATATATATATATATATATATATATATATATATATATATATATATATAATATATATATATACAAATTATATCACAAAATTATACTATCAATAAGGTATGACAATTATGTTTTTACATTGCTTTAACTCATCAAAACAAGTTAAGCAGTTAAAAAATGAGTTATACAAGATTCAACTTTTATTATCAGTTTAATATAATTTAAGTTGAAATTACTTAAACAATTGTACTGAAAAATTGTTATATATATATATATATACACACACACATTAAAATATATAATAATATTTAAATAGACAAAAATATAGTAACATTTTTATTAAGGTATATATTTTGATTATATATATATATACATACATATACTATTCGCGTATATACATACATACGTGTGTGTATTATATATTTTTTATTATTTAAATATTTAATATTTTAGTGTAGGCTATATATAAAATATTAAATATATGAACTCATTATTTAGAAACATAAAATACATAAAATTAGATTTTGTTATATTTGAAATGTTATTTAATAAAAAATCCATATATATATATATATATATATATATATATATATATATATATATATATATATATATATATATATATAACATATAGAATTATTCTAATTAATAATAAAATATATTTTACATATATATTATAATTATTATTTGTTGTTTTTATTTATATATTATATTACTGCACAAGACAACTGAAGTAGATTTTAAAAGTAGTATATTTAGAATGAGGCATGTTTCCACTATCCCATTGAGACAAGAAGATCTACATGGCCTTTAACAGAGTGAGATATCAGGAAACACACGTTCATGGTTAAACCCATAGACAGTAAAAGAGGTTAAACCCAATCATGTAGGAGATGCGTCATGGGAAATCCTGCACTGCCGAGCCAAAATAAAGGTTTCAGAAACCTTTTCTAGTTTTTTTTTTTTTTTTTTTTTGAAGAGATGATGTTTTGCATTGTTTACTGCTAATCCCGACCCGTGGATATTTAATAATAATACAAAAATAAACAAACAAGTGCACCTGACCCTATCCCACTACATCATCAAGACAAAAGCCTTTGCTGTTCGAAATGTTTCCGCCCACATTCAGGCACCGCCCACACATCTGGGTCACCACAGGCGCACACGCAGAGACTCTGCTGGTGCTCACTGACGTGTCTCCCGAGGAACACCCATGTCGGGCTTCTTTAGATCTAAGCGACTGGTGAACACACACATTGTGTGTGTGTGTGTGTGTGTGTGTATAGAGCGTGGGCGCATTTTAGCATTAACGTATGTGTGTGACATAAACAGAACAGGAAGCTGCTTGGATCAACTCAATTTAAACTGCTTCCAGATTGAGCCGTGTTTTTCAGACCGCCTCTATAAATAAACTGTTTTTAAGTTGTTAGCTTGCTTATATAAAGTTTAATGGCAATCATAAATTAAAATGGGTAATAATTATGTAAATATTAAAGTCACCATGAAGTCTTTCAGTGCCGACTTTAAGTATATCTATACATCTAAATAATATTATATCTAAAATTCAAAGTAAATGTATTGATATTTTATACTTACATTTTACATGGTGATGGAAAAAGATTAGATTGAAATAATTTCAATGCTTTTACCTTTGCTTCATAGGCTTTGCTTCCATAACTTTTGTTACATGAAGAAAATTGGCATTAGTTAGCAAAAAACATTTCTCTCGTAAAATATAGTTTCCTCCCAAAATTGTGTGAGCAAATGCAAATTTTCAAGAAAACTGAAGCACTGAATTTTCAAGCACTGAATTATAATTTTCCCCTTTTCCTTCTCCATTAACATGTTTATGTTATTACTAACATGTATATTTTTTAGAACACTTGAAGTGAAGAGAAAAATGTGTGAACTATTTTTCCAGTTTGGTTTTTATTTGTAGAACGATTTCACAAAGACAAGACACAAAAGAGTGAAACACGACAAATGTGCATAGAAAAAGACACAACAGACTAGCATAGCGAACTAACAAAACACCCACGTGTGAAGAAAAAAAGTTTGCGAACTTTTTTTACGGAAAAAATCACAGTTACAATGTAACGGTTAACGTTTACTGACAGCGAAATACACAATATTGTATGCTGAGAATTAAGGCCTGTTCACCCCAAGGACGATAACTAGAACAATAAAGATATAGTTCTAAATCGTTCTAAATATAAAAGAATAGCAGATTTCACACCGCAGCTATTACGATAACGGCACAGAGAAACGATATCGCTGCAATCACTTCCAGAACTATTTTCTTCCCCAGCTGAAGAACAATAAAAACAATGACAGCCAATCAGAATCCACCAGATTTAAAGAACTCTAGAATTTAAAGTGGCAGACGACAAAACTGCAGCATGCGCTTAGAATAAAAAGAACGATATCGTCCGCTGGTGTGGATGCTAATATAGTAATCGATATATTTATAGTTATCGTTTTTTGGTGTGAATGGGCCTTGCTGGTTTCTGGTAACAAATACAGAACACAATTTCTTCTAGTACTAACATCTAAAGTGACGCAATCACAAAAACGCGCAAAGCTAATTCTACATATTCAGTATTCTTTTACGAAGTACACGTTAAGTTCATCCTCACTGACAAACTGTTACGAACAGATGAATGTCATCATTTAACTTTAAAATTATCAACTAATCTAAGGACTACACAACCGTTTTCTGTGAAACTTCAGTTGGGGAGTGCTTCTGTTGAATAACGAATAGTTTAAATAAAAATAGTTTACGAATAAGACATGCAATCAAATAAACGAACGCAGATTATGTACAAAAAAATGCACAGTCACAAATACGCTCTTTGACAATTTCTCTGTGTACACCGACTGCAAGACGTTCATGTTTTTTGTTATATTATTAGAAATAAAAATAATTTTTAAAAACTAAAAATCAAAATAAATTGATCTCTGGGCATTTACAGTTCTTAAGGCCACACAGTTTCAGTACTAGATCTACTGAGCAAACAAAACGCAGGTTTCATTCAGAGGCTGAAGATGTTATCTGGAGTCCTCTGGTTCTGATTTGATGGTCTTCTTGTCCAGAAGCCTGAGCTCTTTTTGAGACCCGTTTTCTGAAATAAAAAAGGCAATGGATTACACTCAAAGACTTTAGATATACAAAGATGGTGCACTCATATTACTATGAATAGGAGAAAGTGCAACGTGCAATATGGCAGAATAAGTCCCGCCTTCTAAATAAAAGAGCCAATTGCCAATTGGTAAAGTCATTGCGTCACTGCAGTTGCCTTTAGAAGATGGTTTAACCTGAAAAATTATTATTTTTTGTTATGATTTGAGCGTTTAGAAACAAAATTTATGAGACAATTGTCAGATTTAATTGGTGATTTCAAATTGTTTCAAATATGGCCGGTGAGTGAAATGACAGTCACAATTCATTTGTTTAATGTATCAATTGGTTAGCTTGCTTGCATAAAGTTAACTGGCTATAAAGAAATGTGTGGAATCGAGATTCAAGATGATTATGTGGAATAAAAAATAAAAAACTTCAAATTTCTAGAATGAGGCATTAGTCAAATCAAGCATAAATAATAATTTATTATAATTTAAATAATAAATATTTAGCTAAGTAATACTTAATACTTACCAAAATACCAACTATTTTTCAACATTAATGATAAAAGTTTTTTAGCATTAACTAACAATGAACAATTTATTTGCTACAGTATTTATTAATATCTTTATTAATATCATTGTTAGTTCATGTTAGCTCAGGTTCATTAACTATTACCATATATATGTATATATAAATATATATATATATATACATACAACTTTTGATTTTAATAAAGTATTAGTAAATGTTGAAATAACTGAGATTAAATAAATCCTTTAGTATTTGTCATTGTTAGTTCATGATAACAAATACATTTAACTAATGTC